GTTCAAACCCACCAGCCACTCCTCAGAAGGAAGGTTGGGCAATCTACTTCCGTAGTAATACTGCCTTGGAAACCCAAGGAGGGGTTGCTATGAGTTGGATCCAACTCAACAGCAGTGAGTTGGATTTTTGGTTTTTTGAATGGTATTAGTTTGTATTGGAACCCCCTTGCATGAATCAACTAAGGCCAATGAGTAGGGGCTGACTAGACCAAGAGGGACTATCTGGGGACCTGATGCCAACTGAGTCTCAGGGGGCATGAAGAAGAAAAAAGCAAGTTGGGATGGGAGGCTGTTGAGGTTGGATAACAGTGGTACGGGGCCTTGGCTTTGGATTTAAATCCTGGCTCTATCATTTAGTAGCTTTGTGACCCTGGGAAAGTAATTTCACCTCTCTGGGCCTCAGGTTCCTTATTTGTAAAATGAGATTAAGTGAGACCATGTATGTATGAACCCCTTCATACAGGGCCTGGCACTATCAGTGCTCAGTAGATGTCATTATTTTACATGTGAGGATACTGAGGCCAGAGACATGAAAACTGTGGGCTCTTACCACTCAAGTAAAGAACTCTGTTCTCTGTGAATGGGGTGGGGGTCATGCCTCTCAGCTTACCCACATAGACTAGAATTCTGAGAGTCCCTGGTTAGGGACCTGGGACATCCCAAGTGTGACAGTCAGCAAACTGCAGAGCCCCAGGAGGGGCTGGAGTTGCCAGGGGCTGGCGACTTCAGCTGCTTGCCAATGGCTGCCTCTTTTATCCTCTCCACAGCCTCAGTGACAATAGGCTTTCTGCATCTGGAGTGCACTGTGTGCTGAGCGCAATGAGTGCCTGCTTGACCCTGGCAGAACTGCATATCAGGTGAGAGCGCCCGGTGGGCTCATCTAGTAATGAGTTTCTTAACCACGGCACTCATTAGTGGGCAATTAAAGCCCATTGCCATGCAGCCAACTCTGAGTCCTGGAGGACCCGTGTGTATCAGAGTAGAGCTGTGCTCCAAGGGCTTGGTGATGGCTGAGTGCTAAAAGGGAAAGGAGGCCACATCTTCTGACCTCCTCTAGCCATACAAGAGGACAGAATCACTACCAGTAGCCCAAGGCCCATTACTGTGAGGCCAGATATGCTGCCTCCCTCTAGCCCTTTCACCAACCCCTGACACCAACCGTTCCTCCCGCACCACTCGCTACCTTTCTGCTGGGTTCAATAATTCACTGCAGTGGCTACCCAGAACTCACAGATTATGGGGTTTATTAGGGAAGCACCAGGCTACAATTCATTCAGGAACAACATTCAGTTTCTCTCTCAGCCCGCTGTCTCTCACCCAACAGTCTCTCTCAGTCTCTCCCAGTTTCTCTCTCAGCAATGCATGTCTCTCAGTGTCTCTTTCTCAGCAACATGTCTTCCTCGGCCAGAGGTCAGAGAGAGTTCTGCCTCAAGGAGGCCTCCTTTTGAGCCTGACAGAGTGGCCAAACTAACCAATCATAACATCAGAATTCTAAGCACCTGAGAGACAGCGACCTTCCCAGAACATTGCTTTGTGCTACTCCCCACAGAAATACCCCAGGTGGATAACATTTACAATCAGGAGCTCCTCAGTTGCTCACAGGAAATTCCACCATGGAGTTTACAAAGACTTATGGCTAGAAAAGCCACACCAGGTAATTTACTACACAGCACTGAGTTTTCAGAAGTAGATTGCCACGCTTTTCTTCTAAGCCAGTTTGGGGTGGACTCGAACCCCTAATCTTTTGGTCAGCAGCCCAGTGCCTTAACTATTTGCACAGCTGCTGGGTGGGTGATGAAGCCAGGAGGAGGGGAAGGCGGAGGGGGAGGAAGAGGCACTGCAGGGACTGAGATGTGCCCTGGAGCCCCTCTACTTGTTGAGTCTAGGGTTCTGGGGTCTTCAAAACAATTAGGAGAAAGTAATAAAAGAAGAGCTGCTTTCCCTTTAAAAAAAACACCTTATGGGCCACGAATGTATATGTGGTTGGACATCGTACAAGCGGACTTTAAGTGACACGAACAAAAAAACAAACTCAGTGCTATGGAGTCAGATCCAACTCATAGCAAACCCTCCTTGGGTTTCTGAGGTGGTATCACTATGGAAGTTGATGCCCAACCTTCCTTCCGAGGAGTGGCTGGTGGGTTTGAACCACCAGCCATCTGGTTGGCAGTTAAATGCCTTAGGCAATACGCCACCAAAACTCATGACTATATGTCTCAACAAATTAAAGACAAGGAAAAACTGACCATGTTCCAGATTAAAGGAGATTATATTATTATTATTATTATTTTTGTACTGTTGATTCTATTCTAACTCATAGCAACCCTATAGGACATGGTGGAACTGCCCCATAGGGATTTCTAGCTGTGATCTATACTGGATCAGGTTGCCAGGTCTTTACTCCCATGGAGCCACTGGTGACTTCGAACCACCAAGCTTTTGGTTAGCAACCAAGCACTTAACCATTGTGCTACCAGTGCTCCTTAAAGAAGACTGTACAAACCCCCCAAAAAAGTCCCAAAACTTGAAGGACCCAGTCGAAATATTCAGTGATAATCAATATTATCATGAGTAAGTTTTCTTTATTTTCCTTTTACTTGGTTGTATTTTCTAAGTTTTTCACAAAGATGAAGAATGACTTTTATAAAGAGAAATATAAATTCCATTTACAAAAAGAAGATGAAGAATGCTTGTGTTATACATGACGGCCTCACTTAGACCCTCAATGTCTGCCCCTGCCACTGACAGTGACCTCCCTCTGCTGAGTGCATTACAGCTGAGCGTTCTCTAACTAAAAGAGGAACCCCAACTGGCAGAGGGGGGAAGTTTTCAGTGTGAGGCCCAAACCAGAAAGCAGCTTGCAGAATTTAAGTCTGCTTTCTAAAAGCCGGAAATGAGGGCAGCACATGCAATAGATAAGTTTGTGAAAACGCTGTAGCAGAAAGAATTTCAGGCTCCTAAAGACTCAAAGGAAATCAGGGGCAGGTCAGAGACAGCCTCTGAAGCTGGAGGCAGGGGGTCAAAATGACACAGAGCAGCAGGGACAAATAGGTCTCTGTGTCCTCACTCCTCTCTTCTCTCTGCAGCCTGCTGCACAAAACAGTGGTCCTCAAGTTTGCCCAAGAGCTGGAGGAGGAGGAAGAGGAGGGGACCCAGAAGAGGTAGGACCAAAACATCCTGTCCCCAACCTTGGCAAGGGCCACCCCTCCCTGACTGCCACAAGTGGGGAGTGTCATCAGATGCCAGAGACCTTGACAAATTCACCAAGCAGCAGGAAGTGAGCAGGCTTTGCAGGGGGGATGCAGTCCTAAAGTGCGGAGGGTCAAAGGACAGACTGCCTCCCCATGTCAAACAGTCCTGTGATACAGAATGGGGACACTTCTGGAGCAGGGTTGTAGTAGCCAGGGAGTGATGCTAGGAGGCCCTTCAGCCTAAACCCAGAGGACTGCCTAGCCTCCAGTTCTGATCTCTTTTGGAATTTCTGGCTCTCTTTGGCATGAAGATCGTTTAGAAAGTTTGCCTCCTCCAGGGTGCCTTCCTGGCCTGCTCTAGACCAGCTGGTGGGCTCTTTGCTCCTTGTTGTCCAATCATAATCTTTTCTGTAGGGTCTGAACTATCTACGGCTTGATTGCCATCTCTGAAGGCATTGGTGGTGATGATCAAGAGACTAATAATAACAACAAAAACAGTTGCTGTTGAGTCATTTCTGAGTCACGGCAACCCCATGTGTGTCCGAGTAGAATTGTAATCCATAGGATTGTCAATGGGTGATATTTCAGAAGTGGGTTTCCAGAACTTTCTTCCAAGGTACCTTTGGGTGGATCAAACTGCCAACCTTTCGGTTATGGCTGAGCATGTTAACCTTTGCACCACCCAAGGACTCCAATAATAATAGAAGCTGATGTTAGACTGAGCACTTACTATGCACCAAGCACTAAGCTTAGACAATGTACATACATTATCCCAGTAAGAGGCTAAGTGATTTGTCCAAGGTCAAACAACCAGAAAATGGAGAAGCCAAATTCAGATCAAGGTCTGCCTGACTCCAGGCTGAGTATGGAGATTGAATGGTGGACACTGAGGCTGAGGAAGGACTTGGGAGACAGTCTGTGAAGTGTTGGCTCAGCCTGGCCTTGGTGTGTGTCCCTCCAGGGCTGCGTTTCTGGACAACCTCCTTCCCCAGGTGCCCTCTGAGCTATCCCTGAGCTCCAGAAGGATCAGGTACAGTGACTGCCTCTCGACTCTGTATGTGATACCAGCCTTCTCCCTTCCTTTGCTCAAAGCTCATCCCAGGATTCAAGCCCCAATACTCCCTAGAGGAGACCCTAACCTGCTGTGTCTAGGAGCTGTGGCTTGGCTTCCCTGCCCCTCTTCCCTGCTTGGCCCACCCCAGCTGAGCTCATGAGACCTCAGTCACTGTACCTTCTCAACTCAGAGACGCACTGCCCTTAGCTCCCCTGACCCCAATAGCTAGGGGTTGTGGGGAATTGGAAGAAGGGGAAAGGGAGGGTTTGGCCCTTTTTTCCTGATTCTGGAGCCTAGGCCTGGGAGTTCAGCTCAGCCCTTGAAGACTCCCACCAACATTCTTCTCGCTCTCTCTCTCTTTCTTGTTCTGTCTGAATATCCCTCCCTCTCTATCTGTCTTGCTCCTTATCTCTCCCATATTTTCTGTTTCTCTATCCTCTCCCACTCTCCTTCGTTTTGCCTGTCTGTCCTCTGACTTTCTCTCTCTCTCTTTTCCTCCCTTCCTCTCTGTGTCTCTGAATCCCTCTGGCTCTTCTCTGCCTGTATATGACATCTTTTGTGTTTGGTGTATGTTGGTCCCTCTTTGTCACTCTAGCTGGGTGCCCACTGTGTCCCAGTCCCATGCCTCACTCTACCTGTGTGTCTGGGGTGGCAAGGCTGCTCCCACCTCCACGCAGGGAGGCAGGCACCACAAGGCTGTGGCTCTGCCCCTCTGCAGGCTGACGCACTGTGGTTTCCAAGCCAAGCACTTAGAGCAGCTCTGCAAGGCACTAGAAGGACACTGTCACGTCGGCCGCCTTCATCACCTCGAGTGAGTGGCTGCCTGTTGGAAGGCAGGTGGGCAGAGTAGAGCAGAATTAGTTGGTGTTAGTAGATTAGGGGTTTTTTTGTTTGTTGTTTTTTAAGATTTACATCGGTGATTCTTTTCCTGGTAAAGAAACTTCTTAGAGAATCTGGTGAAAGTTGTGATTCTTCCCTCCAAAATAAAGGTTTCCAAAGTAACACCTTTTGAGGCCCATCCTGACCCTCCCAGAGGCCTACAAACCTCAGTATAAGAACCCCAGGGGACCCCAAATGGCCCTCTGCCCAGGGCCATGTTCCCCAGTTTAGGAAGAGTTGAGGGGAAGGGATGATACTCCTGCTGACCACCACCCCACTAATATTTTCTCCCCACTTCCCCTCCCAGCTTATCAGGAAATGCTCTGGGGGATGAAGGTGCCACCCTGTTGGCTCGGCTGCTCCCAGGACTAGGTACTCTGCAGTCCTTGAAGTGAGTAGCTGGGCTCAGCAGAGCCTTTGAGCTTTGTTCTGCTGCCATGGAGGATGTGGGTATTGGGGAGAGGTCTGGGTTGTTGTACAGGCTAAATCACAAAGTTCCTATGAATTGCTGGGTCCAGTGCCCTGCATGTGTTAAGTACACAATAAACAGTAGCTAATACTTTTAACTCCCATTAATGTAGAGACTAGCTCTGTGACTCAATACTCTTGCTTCTGAGTGAAGATTTCACTTCCTGAGGGCTGTCTGTGTATCTGTGTGGGGCATGACATGATTAACACTATTCCAGCCCTAAGGTTCAGGGGAACTATTTGATGGACCATGGGAGGGACAGGGAGGAACACCCAAACAGTATCCAGGGCAGCCAGAGGGCCCGCGTCCCTGGCAGAGAGAAGAGAAATATCCAGGCATGCGAGGGAGATCCTAGAAGGAGCCCAGGAACCCCAGACTACCTGCACCCAATCAGGCAAAGGTCCCTGTTATTCTTGGCTCCTACACCTCCCTCTTCCCCTGACTTCTTCCGAGTCAAAGACAGAGGAGCACAGGTGAGAGAACAATATCACAACCTGAGTTCCAGGCTAGGCTCTGCTACTTGCTTGCTGTGTGACTGGGACAGATGAAGTCAACTCTTTGAGCCTCTGATTCCCAGGCAGTAAACCCATAAACCATCGAGGGTATGGCCAAGGCTTTTGGCTACAACCTTTGGCTGAGGCCTCTTCCTGCTCAGTCTTTCTTTGGATAATGGCAAGAGAAAGAAGTGGCCGCTGTTGCTTTTTAGGGCCTGCACCTGGGTAAGGAGGAAGGCCCTACCCAGGCAAATTTTATGCAGATTGGAGGCTTTTAGGAAATTCCTGTGTGTACATCTTAATAACTGTGGAGGCCTGTTATGACCCTTGGGCTATCCTGATACCCTCTGCCATGGTGTCAATTCCCACTCATAGCGACCCCCACTGGGTTTCCACAGCTATAAATCTTTACAGAAGTAGATTACCTCATCTTCCTTCTGTGGAACAGCTGGTGGGTTTGAACCACCAACCTTCTGGTTAGCAGCCAAATGTCTTAAGTGGAAAATTTGAATGGCTATAGGGGCAGGCAGCAGATGAGAGAGCACAATGGGTCTGGGTCCAGGGCAGCAGGGAACAGTGGGAACTGGGGCAAATTATAGCGTTCACTCTGCTGAAGGTCAGTCAGCCCAGTGTGGCCAGATCTGATTTTTCAAGATGAGCTGGAAATCTGAATTTTTATGTAACATCTCCCAATTTTTAATATTAACAACAAATTCAAAAAGTTCCTAAGCACTGTGCAGGCCCACCTGTACCAGAAGCAAGGGTCTGATGCATCCCACATGCTGTGAGTTTGAGATCTTTGCTTTGGTTCTTTGCTTAGAAGCTCCACCCACCACCTCTACCTATGGTGTCCCTTCCTCCCTCCTGGGAAATGGGCAGATTTGCAGGCCAGAGAGGGTGGCACCCTCATGTCTTGGATTGTTGAGTCTAGTAGGCTTCTGATGGCCCATCCTCAGGGCTGGCTTCATTGGCATGTGACCAGTACAGTCAGTCATACAGGCCCCAGGCTCTAAAGGACCTCAAGTTTGGGGTTTAGTACTCGGCAGTCTTGAAATTCTTAATGGTTTTGTCTTTGACCTTGTGTCCTGTAAGTGAAGGCCAACAGGACAATGGAGCGTGTGTGCGCCAGGGGCTTGGGACTTTGGCTCATGAGCTGGTGCTTCTTCTACTGCCTTCCTGGAACAAGTTACCAGCTGCCCTCTCCCCACCCCACCCAGCGACAGCTGCCACCCTCCACCACCCGGGAGTCCTGGGTGCACTCAAGGGAAGGACCAGGGTTGAATGCATGTGCCCTGAGCCCCAAGTCATGAACTAGGGGCCCTGGGCACCTATGAGTGTCTGCAGAGCAAATTAAAAACACCATAACAGGTTGAGAGACAGTCTGCAGAGGAAAGGAAAGACTATTTCCTGCTTTTTGAACAAGCAATCTCACATTTTCATTTTCCACTGGGCCTTGCCCCTCCTTTAGCAGGTGAGGAAACTAAAGTACAAGTCTGGGCAAAAACACTCCCCAGATTCGTCACAGACCCAGGCCACCACTGGTTCTAATCGCAGCTCTGTCACCAACGTGTCTTGTAACTTTGGGCAAGACCTGCCTCTCTCTAGGTCTCAGTTTCCCCATCTGTACAAAGAGGAGTTGAAGAGGTGCTCTCTGTCCACCTGGGTTCAGTGAGTTCCCTCCACTGGATTCGGGCCCAGCCTCTCCTGCCCTGAGCTCTCACCACAAAGAGGAGGCTTTTGAGTCCTCGGGGACCTCTCTCAGTATCGCTTCTTGTGATTCTCCAGCCTCAGTGAGAATGGCCTATCCCTGGACGCTGTGTTCTATTTGGTCCAGCTCTTCTCTACTCTGGAGTGGATTTTCCACTTGGACATCAGGTGAGCGTCCTTGTTGGGCTCTGACCCTGCCTCACCCAGTGGTACCATCGACCATCAGCTCCCATGCAGACCCCTGTCTGCCATACTCACCATGTATTATCCCTAGACACCCCCCCCCATGCAGTACTGGGTCCAGTGAGCATGCAAGGGTATCTGCTGAATGGGTGGATGGGTGGGAAATTGGATGGATAGGTGAGTAGGTGGATGGATAGGTGGATGGATGGGTGGTAGATGGATCAGTGGATGGGTGGATGGGAGGGTAGATGGGTAAGTGAGTAGGTGGATGGGTGGGTGGATGAATATGGCCCACACACCCTCGTTTCTCCAAGTTCACCATGGGACACAGTTCATCAACTCTCCCTCGCTCTCTGGATTATCCTTGGAGACTTTTAAGACATTGTTAGCTCCCTGTATTATATGAATCTTTTACAATAAACATATATTAATAATAATAAGAAGAAGAATAAATTGGTAGTTCCCTGGTGGCCATTGGATGCTTAGGGACCCATCTTAATTGTGGGGTCATTGGAGGGGATGAGAATACAGAGCGAAGGCACCACCCAGCCAGGCAGCCCCAGTCCATCCGGTGCATGTCAGCCATGGTTTCAGGGGAAGTCTGCCCATTCCTCCCCTGCGCTTTCCCTGAGGATCCCCAAGAGTGGGAGGGGGAGCAAACTGTGCCGCTCTGGGCAGACCACTGAACCTCCCCATGGCTCCATGTCTGTAAAACGGAGGTAAGAGTACTCCATCATCTCATAGTTTTACCGTGAAAGTCAAACAAGAGAACATGGCATGCTTCATATGTGCCTTGATCATTGCAGTTGTTAAATACATTTATTGTCATATTTGCTGAGAAGTGGGCCACCTTCAGGTCCTCCTTAAGCATGCCAGGCTGGTCGCTTGTCGCTACCTGGGAAGTGAGCCCTCTGCCCTTTGTCAGACTGCTGCCTCCTCTCTGCTTCCAGCTTACAAAGCCAGTGCTGCTTCCTGAGAGGTGACAGAAGGCGCAGGTGAGGAGGGAGTGCTCTGCAGGGTGGGTGCCCCTCCCTCTCACCCCTATTTCCCTGCTGACCACTCCTAGCCTGAGAGTTATCCCAGGCCTGACACACTAGAACTAAGCACCCCTTCTATCATCCTTCGTGTAAATTTCCAGTAACTACCTGCCTTAAACCCAAGGCAATGGAGGTGGGAGGGGGGAGGGAGAGGATGATGGTGATCATCCTGTTGCGGCTGTTGGGGAGGGCAGAAGGGAGCAGTTGCATTTCTGTCTCTTGGGGACTTTTTGCAGACTCATGACTTCTATGAGTCACTGCCTTTCACACTCTTAGTACATTTCAGAAACCAAGAACCGTTGCCACTCTGAAAACATTTTCCACATCTTTGCAATAAACAATGAACGATAGTTTTAGTTCTTTAGGGATGCTCCTGGCTGCCCCCTAGTGGAGCTGGGCACCTTGATCTCACTTGAGCCTGTTGAGAAGCACAGGGTGTCCTAATGCCAGATCAGCTGGGCAGACTGGATTCACAGCTAGTGTGTCAGGGATGACACGTGGGGAAAAAAATAAAAGCCACTGCCATAGAGTTGTATCCAACTCGTAGCGACCCCTCCTTGGGTTTCCAAGGCGGTGTCACTATGGAAGTAGATTGCCCAACCTTCCTTTCCAGGAGTGACACATGGGGAAAGCACTGTTAACAAGACATGTGCTGTCTGAAGCCAGGGGTGGGTCAAGGCTGGGGTGGTCTTGCTTCTCTGTTTCTGGGTACTCTCTGGGTTCTTGAAGCCAGAGGAATCAAATGGCAGGGAGTGGAAGTCATCGAATGCTGTCAGGGGTCAGAGAGGAGGGGTTCTGTCCTGACACCCTCACCCCAATGCTGCCCGACCTGGCCAAGTGTGAATGGCTGGCTTCTCTCACTTCCTCTCTCTGGGTGTCAGCTTTCCAACAATGAAGGGCTAGACTAAGAACTACAGACTCGATTCTCTGGGGCCCCTTCTATTTCTGGCTAGGACTGAAGTTGAGGATTCTAATGTGGGTGATTTGAACTTTCCTTTCAAAACGGTTTCTCCATTCCAAGGGATGCATTGGTTGGTGGACCTTTGCCGGAGTGCCCAGCTGGAGCCCAGTCCTTAGGGTTCGCTCAGCACTGTGACCCCAGGAGCTTCCGGTACAGTCTCCACTCCTTCCTTGGGGGTAATCACCATGGGGGTCAGGGATCAGCTCCCTCTTGAGATCTGTGCCCTCTTGGAGTGAGGAGAGCCCAGGGGCTGAGAGCCAGGGTTTGGGAAAATAGGGGGTTTGGGGAAAGGGGTGAGTTGGGGAATGTTTATGGCCCTTTGGGGGGCAGCTCAACTGGTCCAGAGCCCAGCATTAGAGAGAAAATTCCACATTTCTCTGAAGGAAGCAGAGCAACCCAGCTGCTCCCTGCTTGAAGTTGCTTTCTGCCTTTGGGGATACCAATTTTCTATAAGAAGTGGGCTGGCCTCCCTCCCAAATACTGTGGGAGGAAGGCAAGCTGCCTTTGCTTGAGGCCTGATCATGAAGTTAGGAGACATCCCACCAAGAGCCCAAGGCCCTCTCTGATCCCCTGCCCTGTCCACTGCCCACTTCCAGCCTCAGGGAGTGTCAGCTGGAGCCTTCCAACCTCACCCGCCTCTGTGGGGCCCTGAAGAAGTGCCCAGGGCCTCTGGAAGTTGAGTAAGTAGAAGACACACCTGTAGAGGACACAATGGGGGTGTCTGCCCAGTGACCTGGGAGGGAGGTTCCTGGTTAGAGGCTAGGTGAGCCTTTCCCCATCCCTGCCTTCCAGACCCCACTAGCCATACCCCACAGGAGTCTGCTGAGCTAGGAGGAGAAGGAAGGCTGTCTCCCAACAGCCCCCAGTCCCAGGTAACTTGCCCATCCCTCAGAGAAGTGCAATGTTGGCCTGGGGGCTTCCCCTCTCGGGGTCTTCATCTTCCCCATCCACTTAACTCCAGGCACCAGGAACCCAGTCTGTTCCTAGCCCTGTAGCTCCGCCCAGCTCCACCAGCCACCTTGGTCTGCCTCCATGGCTGGAGCTTACCACCTGTGAAGAGTCCTCCTCAGTACACCTCCATATGCTACCCCCTGCTCACCTAGCCCCTGGGAGGGTACCATCTCACCCACCCCAGAACACCTGGGTCTGTGACCAGAGACTGGACTTGGAATCAGGCTGTGACCATTGGCTTTAACTCCATGGGCCTCAGCTTCCCCATCTGTAAAGTGGACACTTGGCCTTTCCTTCTGTTGTCATCATTGTGATTTTATTGCAGTCATTACTTTGAAAGAAAGAAATCCACGACAAAAACTGTCTCACCCAAACAACCTCTTCTTCTCATCAAACCAGTATTGTCATTGGTCCAAGTAACCTTCTACTCCTTGAATATTGAACTTGTCCCTATTTGCAGCCATAGACTAGGGCATTCCATGGTCTCCGCTTACATCACCTGCCATGGAACAGGTGTTGTTCCATTTTGCTACAGCCTTCTTTCCTGCGTCCTAGCTCCCATCTCCAATGTCCTCCCAATGCGATAATCCTGTTGACTCTCGTTGTGGGTCCTTCCATGCCTTTCTCCCTTCTCAGATACACATAGACCTGGAGAGAGGAGTTTTTGACATTTTTCACAGACATGGGATCTCACTACATAATTGCTCTGTAACTAGATTTTTGACTCATAGCAGTACAACATGGCCTTCCTTGAATATCAAGACATGGGGATCCAATTAATTTTTTTATTGTGGTAAAATATATATAACATAAAATTTACCATTTCAACATTTTTGAGTGTGAAATTCAGTGGCGTGAAGCACATAACATTGTATAATCATAACTGCTGTCTATTTCCCCAGTTCATTTCTTAATATACTATTTTGGAGTAGTTCTAGACTGCATTTAAAGAAAACTTGCAGAGATAACACAGAGTTTCCATACACCACTCACCAACTTCCCCTGTTGTTAACTAAAGTATATTTGTCACAACTAAGAGGCCAGCCTTGGTATAGTACCAGACTTTATGCAGATTTTGTCCGTTTTTCCACAAAAGCCCTTTCTCCTGCCCACAGTCCCACCCAGGGCCTCACATTACAGTTCATGTCACGTTTCCTTAACCTCTGCTGGCCTATGACCACTTTTTGTTCTTTCCTTGTTTCTTATGTCCTTGACAGTTTTGAGATGGGGACAGTTTTGAGGACATTTATAGAATGTCCCTCAATTTGAGTTTTCCTGTTTTTTTTTTTTTAATCTCATGATGAGACTGTATTAATAGGTTTTGGGGAAGGACACCTCAGAGATAAGGTGCCCTACTCATCACATCATATTAGAGGTGTGTGCTACCAACAGCACGTTGTGCTATCAATGTGACTTATTACTCCTCATGTTGACCTTGAGCCCCTTGGCCAAGTAGTTTTTGTCAGGTTTCTCCACTGTAAAATAACATTTTATTCATAATATGTAAGATAATATATATTGTAGAGAATTTCTAGCATTTATAAAAACATATGATAGTATTGTATAATGGACCCTAAGGTATCCTCAAAGTTAATACCTCTTGGCCCTAACACACACACACACACACACACACACAATTATTTTGAAGCAATTCCCAGACATCTTATAATTGCCCAGATTAATTTCTAATAAACTATTTTACAATAATTTTAGACTTGTAAATAAGTACTTCAGTATGCAGAACTAAAGGAGCTCTGGTGGCATAGTGCCTAAGGCACTTGACTGCTTATCAGGAGGCTGGTGGTTCAAACACACCAGCCACTCCTCAGAAGGAAGATTGGGTGATCTACTTCCGTAGTGATACTGCCTCGGGAACCCAAGGAGGGGTTGCTTAGAGTCAGGACTGAGTTGATGGCAGTGAGTTTGGTTTTTTTTGGTTTATGCAGAACTAAATGATGGGCTCTGGTGGCGCAGTGCCTAAGGCACTTGACTGATAACCAGAAGGCTGGCAATTCAAACCCACCAGCCACTCCTCTGAAGAAAGATTGAGCAATCTACTTCCATAGTGATACCGCCTCAGAAACCCAAGGAGGGGTGGCTATGAGTCGGGTCCGACTCGACGGCAGTGAGTTTGGTTTATTGTTAACCACAAAATCGTAATTAGACCTAAAATTACAACCATATTTCCTTAAGGTCATCAATATCCAGTCACTATTCCACTTTCCCTGATCGATTGCCTTGTGTTTTCACAATGTGTTTGTGGATCGTGTCTTTTCATACTCACCCTCCACAGTATGGATGGGACACTCACGCCCCTCTGGAGTCTAGAAGGACGTGCAGCCTGCTTCCAGTTTTTCGGTGGCCTGCAGGCAGTGCTGTCATAAGCACTTCCATTATTTAACATGATAAGCACCTACTGTGTGCCAGGTACAGCAGCAGGCCCAGAGGAACATGGTGACGAGATGCTGGTCCTATTCTCAGGGCTCATAGTCTGCCGTGAGGGACTGCATGTAAACACCCCTTAGGGCACTGCTGGGTGGTCTGAGCACAGGCGGGAGTCTAACGGTCCCTGACCCCCAGCTGGGGTTGGAGGAAGTGGGATAAGGACTGTGAAAGCACGTTGCCCTCTAAAGCTGTGACTGCATAAGCAATTACTGTTAGCACGGTATTCAGTGCTGAGATTCAGAAGTTGGCCTCTGTGTCCTGAGATTCTGCTGGGAGGCTGGAGAAGGTGGCGGGGCTCTGTCTCACTCCCCAAATTCAGCCATCGCAGGTCCACTGTGTACATGTCAGGGCTCCAGGAGGGATGCTGTTATGGGTAAACAGAAGTTCCACTGCTTAAAAAAATGTAGTCAGTAAACTCCGCCTTTATCCAGCTCAAGGCCACCATGCTGTGTGTTTGGGGTCTGGCAGGAAGCCAGGAGGGGCAGCTATTGGCAGATAGGTATCTTAGTTCTCTAGTGCTACTGGCACAGAAATACCACAACTGAGAGGCTTTTACAGAGAAATTTATTTTCTCACAGTTTAGGAGCTAGAAGTCCAAATTCAAAGTGCCAGCTCTGTTGTTGTTAGGTGCTGTCCAGTCGTCTCCAACTCCTAGTGACCCTATGCATGGCAGAACGAAACACTGCCTGGTCCTGTGCCACCCTCACGATCCTACTATACCTGAACCCATCATTGCAGCCACTGTGTCAGTCCACCTCATTGAGGGCCTCCCCCTTCTTCATCGACCCTCCACTTTACCAAGCATGATATCCTTCTCCAGGGAATGGTTCCTCCTGACAACATAACGAAAGTAGGTGAGATGAAGTCTGCCCATTCTCACTTCCAAGGAGCATTCTGGCTGTACTTCCTCCAGGACAGATTTGTTAGTCCTTTTAGCAGACCATAGTACTCTTAGCATTCTTCTCCAACACCACAACTCAAAAGCATCAACTTTTCTTCAGTCTTCCTTTTTTGTTGTCCAGCTCTCACATGCGTAGGAGGTGATTGAAAATACCATGGCTTGGGTCAGGTGCACCTTAGTTTTCAAGGAGACATCTTTTCTCTTCAGTACTTGAAAGAGGTCTTTTGCAGAAGATTTGCCCAATGCCATATGTTGTTTAATGTCTTGACTGCTGCTTCTATTGGTGTTGATTGTAGAACCAAGTAACAGGAAGTCCTTGACAACTTCAATCTTTTCTCCATCCATCGTGAAGCTGTTTATTGGACCAGTTGCAAGGATTTTTGTTTTCTTTCTATTGAGCTATAATCCATACTGCAGACTGAAGTCTTTAATTGTCGTAAGTGCTTCAAGTCATCCTCACTTTCAGCAAGCAAGTGGTGTCATCTGCGTATCACAGGTTGTTAATGAGTCTTCCTCCAATCCTGATGCCACATTCTTCTTCATATAATCCAGCTTCTCAGATTATTTGCTCAGCATACAAATTGAATAAGTATGATGAAAGGATACAACCTCAACACACTCCCTTCTTGATTTTAAACCATGCAGTATCACTTTGTTCTGTTCAAACGACAGCCTCCTGATCTATGTACAGGTTCCTCATGAGTACAAGCAAGTGTTCTGGAATTCCCGTTCTTCTCAATGTTATCCACAATTTGTTATGATCCACATAGTCAAATGCTTTTGCATAGTCAATAAAACATAAGTAAGCATCTTTCTGGTATTCTTTACTTTCAGCCAAGATCCATCTGACATCAGCAATGATATCCCTCGTTCCACATCCTCTTCTGAATCCAGCTTGCATTCTGGAAGCTCTCTGTCAATATACTGCTGCAACCGTTTTTGAATTATCTTCAGTAAGATTTAAGTTGCGTGTGATATTAATGATATTGTTCAATTATTTTCACATTCTGTGGGATTACCTTTCTTTGGAATGGGTACAAATATGGATCTCTTCCAGTCAGTTGGCCAGATAGCTGTCTTCCAAATCTCTTGGCATAGCCGAGTGAGTACCTCCAGCGGGGCATCCATTTGTTGAAACATCTCAGTGGGCATTCTGTCAATTCCTGGAGCCTTATTCTTCATCAGTTCCTTCAGTGCAACTTTGACTTCTTCCTTCAATACCATTGATTCTTGATCATATGCCACCTCCTGAAATGGTTGAACACGGACCAATTCTTTTTGATACAGTGACTCTGTATTCCTTCCATCTTCTTTTGATGTTTCTTGCATCATTCAATATTTTGCCCATAGAATCTTTCAATATTGCAACTCAAGACTTGAATTTCTTCTTCAGTTCTTTCAGCTTGAGAAATGCTGAGCGTGTTCTTCCCTTTTGGTTTTCTAACTCCAGGTCTTTGCATGTTTCATTATAGTAATTGGTTTTGTCTTCTCAAGCTGCTCTTTGAAATCTTCAGTTCAGCTCTTTTATCTCGTCATTTCTTCCATTTGCTTTCACTACTCTCTGCTCAAGGACAAGTTTCAGAGTCTCTTCTGACATCCATTTTGGTCTGTTCTTCCTTTCCTGTCCTTTTAATGACCTCTTGCTTTCTTTATGGATTATGTTCTTGATGTCATTCCACAATTCCTCTGGTTTTTGGTCACTGATGTTCAATGCACCAAATCTATTCTTTAGATGGTCTCTAAATTCAGGAGGAATATTATCAAGTCATATTTTGGTTCTCATGGACTTGTTTTAATTGTCTTCGAGTTGAACTTGCATATGAGCAGTTGGTGATCTGCTCCACAATCAGATCCTGGCCTTGTTTTGGCTGAAGATATTGAACTACTCCATCGCCTCTTGCCACAAATGTAGTCAATCTGATTCCTGTGTACTCCATGTGGCAGAGTCCATGTGTATAGACATCATTTATGTTGTTGAAAAAAGGTATTTGCAAAGTTGTTGGTCTTGCAAAATTCCATCATGCAATCTCCAGTGTTATTTCTATCACCAAGGCCATATTTTCCAACTACTGATGACTCTTCTTTGTTTCCAACTTCTGTATTCCAGTCACCAGTGAAAATCGATCCCCTCAGTGAAGGCCCCTCCTCTGCCCATACTTCAGGACTTCAGTCCAGTCCCTGGGGATAGAAGGGGTAGAGCTGAGCCTGCAGCCCAGGCCTTGACAGGGGCTCAACCCTGAGGCACCCAGCTCTGGAACTACACGCTGCCTTCTCCTACTTCACCTCCCAAGCTGAAGCCGGGGCTCAGTCCTGCTCCCCCACCTGACCAGAGAATCCAGCAGTGGAGATGGGGAGCAAGGGTCCTGGAGGCCCCAGTGAAGGAAGAAGCCAGCCTACAGGAGACGAGGGGCAGCCAAGGACAAAGGCAGGGAAAGCAGATACGGTGCAAAGCTCTTTAGGCCCCACAGAGGGACAGTATGTAAATTCAGGGCACTTAGAGACTGCATTGTCCAGTCCTCCAGATACAGCAGACACCAAAAGGCCAGGGAGAGTCTGAAGTTTCTCCTGAGGGTCCTGTGTTCTGGAGAAGTGGTCATGGTTGGTCTGGTTTTCATAGCCGGTTAGAAGTCTCAGCTACTGCCCCTCTGTGTCTCCTTTGCTGGCCTGTTCCATGCTTGAATTTCTGCTGTTGTCCTCCCGCTCTGGGTGAAGGCAGCATTTTTTTTCTAAGACTGTTCATAGCCCTCAAAATAATAATTCTGCTCACCAATTAGGTTTGGGGAAAGAATCTATTATGTCCCTTCAGAAATTCTCATTACACAACAGCATATTAAAGGCTCTGAGAAGTCCTGCAGCAAAGAAAGCTATTGAATTTGGTTTAACACAGCAGTTTCCGAAGTTGTATGGCCTTTGTCTTCCCTCACCCCACAATGCTATCTCAGGGACCCAGTGTTTGGAGGGAATGTTTTGGGTGACACTGGCTTAGGGCCCGTCTCCAGAAGGCCCTGAGGGTGAGGCCGTGCTCACGGCTTTCCTCCCTACTCCCTCTGAATGCTTTCTCCACAGGTTGTCCTGCGAGGTCCTGAGCGACCACAGTCTGGACACCCTGCTGCACTGCTTACCCTGGCTGCCCCAGCTGAGCCTGCTGGAGTAAGACTAAGTGTTTCCCTGATTCGTTGCAAAGCTGTCCCCCCTCCCTCTTCCCTGGGGCTGGTTCATCATTTTCTCTGGCATGACTGGGCCTCAGGCCCCCTTCTAACTCTACTCTAATGCTCCACCGACCTTGAAGGGAGTTACTGGACCCCTCTGAGCCTCAATCCGTTCATCTGACAAATGGGTTAATATTCCACAGCCCTTCCCTGCACACCCCTCTGAGGGTTGGGACCCGAACAAGATGCTGGCTCTAAAAACACCTTGAAGAATGTGTGGCCTGTGACACATGTGATGTCCCATGTCTCCCCATTCATGAAGGGGACTTTACAGATGTAGGTTGTGTGTATGTCACACATGGCTTTTTAAGGTCACCATCAAACTCTGTAACGGGAGAATTACAGCAGCAAACCCCAAAGTATTTAAAACTCCATTTTCTAATTTCAGCTCAGATTGGTTACAATTTAAATAGGAATTATTCAAATATTCCTCTAGCAGGGAGGACAGGGAGGGAAGCAGCTGTCACTGAGATGGAAAAATACAACAGGAAATTAAATCATAACATTAATAGCAACAACGTCAGGACTAATGCTGAGAATCTCTGGAACGCTAGAAACAGCTCACATCATGCTAGAAAGAGCTCATATCACGTCCAGGGTCTCACTTATCCCCGGGGCATATGGGAGATGAGCAGGAGGGAAGAGAGAGGGATGTTCCTGAAGACAACAAGAGCAGCACAGCTCACGCCAGCCCACAGCGCCCCCTATGCGCCCTCCTTGCCAGGAAGGGAAGCGTCAGGAAGGGCTCCTTTGGATACAGAAGTGGTGGTGGACTAAAATAAACCAGTAGGAAATCTCAGACCAGAGAGGGACTTCTCTATGTCTAAGTCACACAGCATCAGCCCTCCGCTCCTTATCTGTCTTGGGAACCAGGGGGCCAGACTGACCCTCATCCTGGCTTAAACTTTGGTTCACTCAATTCCTATTTCTTGCACACCTACTACATGCCAAGCACTCTTGGAGGTGCTGGAGACACCAAAGTGGAAAGAAACTGACGAGGTCCTTATCTTCTGGGAGCTGCTTTGTAGTAAGAGGAGGAGTTAGACAATGACCAAAGCCAAACCACGTAAGGTGAATTGAGACAGTGATATGGTATTTTTCCAGCAACGTGGTAATGAGTGTCTGTAGCAATGACTGTCGACAGTGCCGAGGTTGAGAACCTGTTCCAAGGGCTTGGAGCTTCCTGCTCCCTCCCAGCAAGGACTCACCTGTTGAATCTGTGTTTGAAGGTAAAAATGAGAGTAAGAATGACCATAAGCACAGATACCACGCTAGGCAGTTCACAAGCTTGGTGTCAGTAAAGCCTCATGGCTCCCTGAGAGGAAGGCATTCTGTGATTAATCTTGTTTTCCAGACAAGGAAACTGAGGCTCAGAGAAGTTAAATGATGTCTGGGGTCGCACAGCCAGTAAGCAGAACTAAGACTGGAAGCCAGGCCTCTCCACCATGCCCCTATTTGTCTCTCCTGAGCCCCTGCCTTCTTCCTATTGCTTTGTTGACCCTGGTGGCCCTCCCAGCCTCCCTTTCCTGTCCCCTCCAGCCTACTCAGGTCCCTTGTCCACTGGCCGTTCTGGGCTGTGATTTGCTGACATGGGCCCCTGCTTCTTGCTTTCTCAGGCTGAGTCAGACAGGACTGTCCCCAGGGAGTCCCTTGCTGCTGGCCAACATCTTCAACTTGTGCCCACGCGTTCAGAAGGTGGAGCTCAGGTGAGTAGTGGCCTGGGCCACAGGGACGAGTCTTGAAGGGTTGTGCCTGGGATCTGGTGGGCACGAAGGGGTGAGATGGAGAAGATAAGGCCTAAGCCAGAGGCTGTGCTTCTGGAAGAGGGGGGACATCCTGAGGCTGTGGTCAAGTGCGGAGGGGTGGCGGGACTGACACAGATGCTCTCTGCTCCAGGTCTCTGCATCACGCATCCCTGCACTTCAGGTCCAGTGAGGAGCTGCAAGGTGTGTGCTGTAGGTAAGTGGCCTGAGCCATACCCTGGTAGCCCAGGGTCAATGGGATGAGTAGACATAGCCTCCAGAGCACAGCAAGGACTGCCTAACCCCCGCTCAACACCCTGTAAGGATTCTGCAAGCAAGCTTGTTTCATCCAAGCTAAATTTTACATGAAAACCACAGGGTCAGAGAGGGTTGGTCTTTACTGAAGCACACACAGCAAGTCCGTGTCAGACTGAACCAGGACTCAGGAAGCCTGGGAATGTGAGAAGGGCTTTGTAACATCTCCGTCAGGCTTTAAGTCCCAGCTCCATAAAGGACCTTGGTGACACATGCTCTGGGACCTTGGGGAAGTTACTTAACCTCTCTGACCCTTGGCTTCCATAGCTGTAGAAAGGAGCCGCTTTATTGCGGGGAGTTTGCAAGGATTAAGGGAAGTGACGTATAAACCATCAGGTGTTTATAGATGTGAGTGTCCTCACCCCTGCTGACTCATGGACCGGAGCTCTGTGGTTGCATCGGGTGGGAGGTGGAAGGTAATACACTGGGGGCAGGATAAGGGAGGAGGGTTGAAATTCAAAGATGATGCTTCTACTATATGATGCCACTGGCTACCAAGACCTTAAACTAGTTCCTTCTTCTCTCTGAACCTCAGGTTCCTCAGCAGTGAAATACAAGAAATAGAATAGCTAATATTTGCTGATCTCCAAGGCATTTTGCTAAGAGCTTTACGCTTATTAACTCTTACAAGCCTCACAGCTGTGGTCACACAGCTGGAAGTGGTGGACTTGAACATGAACGTAGGCAGTCTCGTCGTATTCCTAGCCCAGAGATGGGCAAACTTTATCTGTAAAGAGTTTGCCTAAAAAAAAGAAAAACGTTGTTGTCAAGTCAACTCTGATTCATGGCGACCAGTGTGTGTCAGCGTCGAACTGGGCTCCACAGGGTTTTCAACGGCTGACTTTTCAGAAATAGGTTACCAGGCCTTTCTTCCAAGGTGCCTGTGGGCAGAACCAACCTCCAACTTTTGGTCAGTGGCCAAGCATGTAACCATCAGCATCACCGAGGGTAGTAAATATTTTGAGTTTTGCAGGCCACGCATCTCTGTCCCTCCTCAGTCCTGCCATCATAACTTGAAAGCAGCCATAGATAAAACATAAACAGAAGAAGGTGGCTGTGTGCCAAATGGACTGTATTTATGGACAGTGACATCTGATTTCATGTCAGGTTCATGTGTCATGAGATAGCCTTCTTTTTTTTGTTTGTTTTGTTTTCAACCACTTGAAAATGTAAAACGCGTTCTTAGCTCGCAAGCCATAGAGAAACAGACAGCTGTGGGCCATGGTTTCCCAACCCCTGCCCCAGCCCAACCCTACTCCGACATACAGAATTTATGTCAGGATTTTGCAAAATGTAGGACACAGACCATGATAGGCTATTTGTAGGAGGATGGACAGATAGCAGGGTAGTTCAGCATCGTTGAATCCCTTTGTGACAAAATTCCTCTCTTTCTGACTAAGGCAGTCTCAGCTGGATGTCAGCGTGTCTCCAGCACTTGCTAAGCTGCCTTTTTAATAAAGAGCCAGCCCCCTGCACATTCCATAATGACATTCTGTTTCCGTTTCATGTATTTTATGTTTATGGCCTATTTGCATCAAATAGTAATAGCTTTCCATTTACCTTAGTGGTCCAAGGTTGTCTTTTAAAATGAATATGGTCATTATTTTTTTAAATAAACTGATTTAAAGAAAATATTAGGTAAATAATAGTATAATCTGGAATTTAGGAATATTGAAAAATCATGAAGAAGATAAACAGTGATTAAAACTTGACATTGATTTTAGAGACTTTCTAATTTTAAGGTTTTTTTAATTGCTGGCTGTCATAACCCCTTCATATGCTTTATGGTGTGGTCTCATCTTAGACATCTCAAAGGTAGGCTTACTGTTACTTTTAGTCTCAGCATCAATAGCCTTCTGTAGAAGCAGACAGGACCCATATGACCTTCCCTGCCCCCATGTCTATTCTTTTCCCCAAGGGTAGAGGTAAGGGGAGATCCTCTGGTCATTGAAATGACCCCCGAGCAGTAGTTCTTCAACTTGACCTTGAATCAGAATCAGTGAGCGTTCATTAAAGCATGTCTTGCTGAGTCCTGGCCCGAGTTTCTGATTCAGTCAGTGTGGGCTGGGGTCCCAGACTTTGTATTTCAACAAGCTCCTAAATGATGCTTACTTTGCAGGTCCTAGGACCACCCACTTTGAGTGCTACTGTTCCAGAGGGAATGGGGGCACCAGGTGGGATCTGCTGGGGGTGGGAGTGGTAGATGCTGGATATTCCCAGAAGATCTGTGCTTGGGTAGGGCCCCATCCACAGCTTGGAGGCTGCCAGGGGGACTAGCGAGGCACAGAGGGTCTGCGTGACCAAACCACCCATCCCCTGCTTCTTCCTCCCCTCCGACAGGTTCTCAGCCTGCAGCCTCCGCCAGGGGCACGTGGAGCCACTGTGTCGGTTGCTAAGCAAGTGTGAAGACTTCAGGCAGCTGGAGTAAGTTGGGGGCAGGGCAGGGGAGTGTGCATTGGGTGCCCTGGAAGGGTGTGTGTGTCTGTGCATGGGTGTGCATGCAGGTGTGTACCCGTGCATGTACAAGTGCCTACACCTTTTAGGACCAGCTACCAAGCAACTCCCAGAACTCCAGATGACCTACATAAGGTTTTCCTGCACCCATTTTATCTCTCCAACTCCCTTCCTTCCCGCCATGGTACACCTAGTTTCACAGTGTGATCCTTGATCTAATTTGAGAACCTTCACAAAAGAGCCCCAGCCTCTTGCTCTGCTGGCTGATGGGGTCTAAAATGAAGCATGCATTGGTTTACTTGGCAGGTGTTTACAAGCACCAATGACTCAGAGTAGGGAGAAGCTGAGAGCCGGCCAGGGTGGGGACAGTGGGGCTCTGGTATTGTTGAGAAGGAGGTGGTTGTGTGGCCTGTCTTGGGTGCCCAAATAAGCATCCGTCTCAGGGTGGGAAAATCATAGTAATAACACTGTTGTTGTTGTTATTTGCCGTCGATTCATAGCGACCCCTCCTTGGGTTTCCAAGGCAGTATCATTACGTAAGTAGATTGCCCAACCTTCCTTCTGAGGAGTGGCTGGTGGGTTTAAACCGCCAGCCTTCTGGTTAGCAGTCAAGTGCCTTAGGCACTACACCACCAGAGCACCTAGTAATAACACTAGGTGACACTATTGACACTTCCCCTGCCAGCCACTGTGCTTTCCCTGTAGTAACTCTCTTTATCCTTCCAGTAACTCTGTGGTTGCTTTTGGGTGCCGTCAAGTTGTCTCCAGCACATACTGTCCCCGTGTTGTCACTGTGGAACTACCCCAACAGGTTTCCTTGGCTGTAATCTTTGCAGAAGCAGGTAGCCAGGTCTCTCTCCTGCAGAGCCACTGGGTGGGTTCAAACTGCCAACCTTTCAGTCAGCAGCTGAGTGCTTAACTGTTGTGCCACCAGGGCTTCCACAAACCCTATATACTATTATTGTCCCCATTTTACAGATGGAGAACTAAGACACAGAGAGATTTCTTTTTTTTTTTTTTTTACTTTTTCTATTATTTAAAAAAATTTTTTTTTTTTTTATTATTAGGATTTGGGTGAAGATTTACAGAGTAAATTCACTTTTCATACAGTAGTTCACATATACTTTGTCTCATGTCATTGACCAAAATTTACAATGCAGCAGCTCCCCTCCCACTTCCTCCCCATAGTTACCTCCTCCCAGTGTCCATCCCTTCATACTCTTCTGCAGCCTGAGCTATCTCCCTGTGCATAAGCAGCCCTTCCTTCTCCCATGATTGTTCTCTCCAGGGCGTGTGTCTACTTGAGGTAAATGTTTAACTCACATGCCTGTACTTTGTTTGGCTGGAAACCACAGTTGTGTGTTCAATTCCAAACCTGAAGGGCAGCTAGGGGCCATTGTCTCAGTGGTTACACCAGGCTCTATTGGACCAGCAAACCTGGTCCCCACCTTCTTTTTTTTTGCCTCCAAATGATTTTGAGTTTTGTACCACATTGTTCTCCCTCTTTATGTAGGATCTCCTACATCCCTTCCAAGTGGATGGCAGTGGTAGCTGGGCACCATCTAGTTCTTCTGGTCTCATAGTTGTATAGGTTGCAGATCGGATGGTGTACCAGTCGCTAGGACTGATTGTTTCCATTAATTTTGGTTTTCTTCTTTCTTCTTGACGAGGAGAGACCCGTTGTTGCATCTAGATGGCAGCTTCCTAGCTTTTAAGGTCCCAGTCGCTACTTGCCAAAGTAGTAGGTGGAACAATGTTTTGTATAGTATGTTATGCCAATTGAGCTTGATGTCCCCTGCGACTATGGTCCCAAGCCCGCAGGATCAATAACTCAGTCCCACAGAGAGATTTCTTAAGCTGAGTGAGCCCACGGTCACTCAGCTAAGTGATAGACAGTCTTTGCTCATAACCATTGGGAATCTAGTATAGGACCAGTGGGAAACAAAGAGAGATGTTTGAATAAAGAACAACCATGCCTCTCTTAACGTCCATGATAATTTCTGTGAAATAGGACATTATGTGATTTGGACTTTGTGTGATTTTGGATGTTGTGAAAACACCATATCGTAGTCTGTCCTGCTTTTTCTTTCAATATCTCCATCAAAGCCTTAGAGTTATCATCAACGGGCTGGGAGGGAGTCACTTTTATGTTTGGTTCTCAATCCACGTCATTAGCAATTTCTCCATATCTGCTATAGATCCCTCTCACATTTTGTTAGCCTTGTAGCTTTCAGTGGGAGCTGATCAGCTTGGGGAATTTTTTCTTTGCTTTTGAAGATCATCACGACTGTCAGTGCGACGTACCTCAATTGCATGCAATAGCGTTCACGGCTCTTCCACCTTCCTGTTGTTCAATGGCCTTTGGTTTCACTTCCAAATCGATCCTACTTTTTGCCTCTTGCTGCTGTTCTGCTAGCACTGGTTCTGCTGCATTTGGGAGCCATGATGCACGTCCCAGCGATACTTTTGAAATAAAATTAAACAAAGAGAGAATGCTACAACACTCCAGAGACTCATGATACCCAAGATCGAATGCTGCTGTCTACAAGTCGAAGCATATACTGCTAGACAGTAAAGCTTTTAGATAGAAAGTATAGCGCAGTACGTACATAAGCCAGTAAATAGACTTTTATTATGACTGTAAAGACATATGTAGCCTAGGTTATTTATATTCTGTACCTTATATACCTGGACGCACTTTACTATACAAGGGACATAAGATACATGTGTTGTGTGCAGGAAGCTGTTGCATTCACAACATCCCATTCTCTAATCAGGATTTCTGAGCTCTATTATAACCTTATGGGACCATGGGCATCTACACAGTCAGATGTTGCCCAAACAGATATTATGAGGTGCTTGGATATATATGCTCCCTGTGTGCCACAAAGAGGTTACGCTCAGCCACTAACCAAAAAGTTGGCAGTTTGAAAACACACAATGGTGATCTATTTCCATAAGATTGCAGCCATTGAACACTGTGGAACACAGTTCCACTCCGACACACATGGGATCTCCATGAGTCAGCTATGGGTTGGGGTAAAGACACTGATGTACACATTTCCCTGGGTGACAAAAAGGGTTCATGCTTAGCTACTACTCAAAATGTTGGCAGTTCAAATCCAGTGACACCCATAAAATAAATAAAATGAAACAAGCTTTGAATTGTCATGATCAGAGACAAAATGAGTTCAAAATTATAGGACAAAAATCATATTCCAGGGTACCCTGGTTATCTGTATCTGTCCTTCAAGGTGGAGAAGTAAGACACTGGTCAAGTTCAGCTTCCGATATTGCATTGCCAAATTAAAAGAAGAAATCTGTTTGTGAAACTGAATCCTCTAAATATTTTTATTTTTCCTGAATTTATTCTTGTTCAAAAATTGTGGCTCCAGCTGATGCCAACATCAGGGCACAGTCAAAGCTTATTGGTTTTTCTCCAACTCCTGAAAGCCTGCTGGGGGCACGTGAGCCCTGGGAGTGGTCACCAGATATTGAAAGGGAAGATGAGGACTGGTTTACTGTGTGCTGGTGACGGGGACGGTAATAGGAAATACTACTGTTTTCTAGGGGTGATAGAGATAGCAGTGATGGTGGTAATGGACGTGATGATGTCAGTTGGTGGTGATCATGATGGTGGTGGTGGTGATGTTCATGGTGATGGTATCAGGCATGGTGATGTCAAGTAGTAGTGATGGTGCTCCATGGTAACAGAAAGGTGGTGATCACAGTGATGGTGGTGCTGGTGGTAGTGCTATGGTGGTGGGGAGGAAGATGACCATCATGATAATGCTGAAATGCTAGTACCTATGACGGTGGTGTGATGATAATAAAAGTGATCATGATAGTGCTGTGTGGGCAGAGTGACGATGATGGTAGACACAGTGGTGATGGTACAGTGAGGAAGACGCAGATGGTGAGGAGGCATGTCTGACCACCATCCAGCTTCTTGTTACCTCTTACAGCCTCTCAGCAAACCTGTTGGGTGACGATGGGCTCAGGAACCTCATGGAATGTCTGCCTCAGATGCCCATCTCCGATTCACTTGAGTAAGTGAAGAACAACTTCAAAAACAATAAGGCAGACAACTTTGGCCAAGAGCATTAACATGCCTCTTCTGAGAGCATCCCTAGAGAGCTCCAGAGGGCAGAGCCTCGGGAGGGGAAAGGGTGTTTCTGACCTTCACTCTGCTTGCCCTGGGTCCTTCCCTCCTTCCTTCATGTCCACCATGTGCAGAGCCCCCACCAGACACCCAGGAGGGGCCATGTCTTACAGTAGAGTGGACCTGCCCCTGCATGTAACCCCTCCCAGCTAAGCTCAGCCCTGGGGCAAACAGTGGACAGTTCCTCCTCTCTAACCAGCTGGTGGGGGATTTCAGCCACCCCAGCTCCTGGTCCATCCACCCATGAAACCCCTCTGACCCAATCTGTAGGACATAGATTTGGAGAGGTGTCCCCAGAGCAGACAGGTCCCCTAGGAAGTCATCCACACTCTCACCAGAGCGAGGATGAAACCTCAGTTGCTAGGTAACTAAGCTTTGTATTCTAGGAGTCTCTGACCCACATGGGGATGGAGCTGCCGGTCTGTGTCCTCAGTGCCCTGCCCCCAGCCACAGTGTGTGTCTCACCTCAGATCACGGTCTGGTGCCAGTGTTGTGTGTACAGAGAAGGACCCCCTTAGAGCCTCTCTCTGGACTTCAGTGTCTCCATGTGCCGAGAGGACACTTAGAGACTGGAGCCTAGCTTCTTAGATTTCACAGCGGGAGGCAAGGGGGCTGGGCAGGCTTCTATCCAAGTTCTGCCTCCAGCCCCAGTCCTGTGCTTCTTTTCTGTTCCAGTCTGAGTCACAACCACATCTCTCTGGAAAGTGCCCTGTACCTCGTGGAGACCCTCCCCTCCTGCCCAAGGGCTCGGCAGGCCTCAGTGAAGTGAGGAGATGTTAGCGCCCCCTGTGGATGGTGGGGAAGCAAGACTCACAGTGGGCACCCTGTCTCTGTGACTTGGGGGAAGCTCCACCTCTTTCCCAGACCCAGTGTTCACCGAACATGGATCGTAATTTCCCTGATTGCCTGATGCCCGTGGGTCCTGGAAACAGGGAAGTCATGGAGCGTGGCAGGCTAGGTTTGAACATCCTCATGGAATGGAACTCCCACGGTCGGCAGGAGCCTCCCCTGTCTTCCCTGGTGTTCCTGTGGGCCCTGCCCCTCTTCCCTCTCTGTGCCCCGTTGGTCCCTGGGTCCTCAGGATGCTGGCAGGCCTGGGCCTCAGTTTCCCCACTCCCCTCTCTATGCAGCCTGGGCTCTGAGCAAAGCTTCTGGGTTCACTTCTCCAGGCGGGAGGAAGCTGAGAAGACACTGAGGTAACTCCTAGTGGGGGTGAAACGGGAGGAGGGAGGGAGGAGACTGCGGAGAGGAGCTGTCCCCGCGGCAGTCTCCATGTCTGCTTTTGGGTTGAGTCTTCTCCTACTTTCGACACTCCACTTTCAACTCACTGCCTGGGCTTGACTCCCCCAGATCTGTCCCATAAGCCCCCACACCGCAGCCCTCAGGCAGAGCTTTCCCACTGTACTGGTGCCTAGTAGCCATGTCCTAATCATAAATCTTAAGGCTTCTGAGTGTTAGTGTTAAGGGTGCAGAGTCTGGAGCCACCTGAGGATACATCCCAGTTCAAGCACTTACCAGCTGTGTGACTTTGGACAAGCTACTTAACATCTCTGTGTCTCCATTCCTCATTTGTAAAATGGGGGTAATTGTAACACCTCCCTCTTAGGGACTAAATGAGTACTTGGAACAGGCCTGGCTCATGTGAGTGCTATATCAGTTATTACTCCTACCACTGCCATCGGCGCCACCCCCTGGAGGCCCAGGGCTCTGTCCCTTGTCTTTCAGCCTCACTGCCACTCCTTTGGGTCAATCCCTCCGCATGGCTTAATGTCTTAACTTCAGCTGGAGGCATGGCTTCCTAACTGGTCTTCTGCCTGTAGCCAGACATCCTCCAGTCCATTCACCCCACAGCAGCCAGAGGGCTCTTTGCAACATGTACACACACGTATCTAAGCATGTCATTCTATTGCTCTAAGCCCTTCATTGGCTCCTTCTTACCCTCAGGATGAAATTCAAACTCCTTAACCTGATCTTCCGAGCCCCTTCGCAGTCTGATCTGGGTGTTATCTCCCCGGATGTTCTCTTCCAACACCCCCACCACACCCACATACACACACACACACTCCAGCCAGAAGGGCCTTTTACAATATGTTTGTGCAACACGCCTTGCCTGGTCAAGCATCTCTGCCTGTGTTCATGCTGGGCACGTAGCCTGGCATTCTCTTCCTTATCTGAGATAAAATTCTACCAATCCTTTAAGACCCAGCTTAAACGTCAGACCCTCCTGAAAGCCTGAAGTGGTCCCTTGTCCCATCACAGTGAACCTCCTGTGACAATCTGCTGGGCCCTCTTTTCAGCTGGTCTGAGACAACAATCTAGGGGTGCCTGGAGGCCAGGGCCACTGCTCAGAGCATTAGGCCTGCTGTCCCTTTCAAGGTGGCTGTAATAAAATGATACTGGGCATGGTAAGGTGGTGGTTAAGGGTTTGGTGTCTGAAGTCCGGCTGACCTGCATTGAAACCTGATTGTACCCTTACTTCTTACCAGCTCTGTGACTTTGGGTTAGTCACTGTCCCCATCCGTAAGTGACACTGTGAGAATTAAGTGAGTGATACATGTAAGGCAGGCATGCCAGTCTTGCTCACCTGTGCACCCAGAGGCCGACACAAGCCTGCCATATCACCAGGCTCAGTAACTTACTCCTCACACTGCCTGGGGGTGGAGTGGTCTTCCTACAGAGACAGGACGCTTCTAGGACAGGAAGAAGCATCTTTGGCCTCTTCTTAGGCACTGGGCCAGGCCTTTATACTCAGTAAGGGACCCCCCCCCCCCGAGGCCTTGGGGGAATTGGAGGAAGCCAGAGCTGGTGCCCCCCTCCCCCACAGGCCTCACCAAGGCTTGTCCCTTGCCCTCTGCCCTCAGGTTGAGTGAGTGCAGCTTCGGCCCAGAGCACGTGCCCAGACTGGCCACTGGCCTGAGCCAGGCCTCCCAGCTGACGGAGCTCACGTGAGTGACCAGGCCAAGCCTGTGGGGACAGCCGAGGGGTGGGAGCACCCTGCCAGAGCCACTCCAGTAACAGACCTTTGTCCCCAGACTGACCCAATGTGGCCTGGGCCTGGAGCAGCTAACCGTCCTTCTTAGACTAGTGAGGCGACCGGCGGGGCTGCTTCGCTTGAGGTATCTTCTTCCTGTTCCTCTCTGCCCTGGTGCGTGCGTGTGTGTGTGTGTGTGTGTGTGTGTGTGGATAGGGGCAGGAGCAAGCACTGGAGCAAGGGTCCACCAAGGGTCATGGCCTTGGCCATTTCCTGCCACCTGGACCCAGAGCAGACACTGCCTCTCTGTCCCAGAACCTCCCAAGACACACAGAGTGGCTGTCCTTCCCCAGGGTGGGGCCTGTGCCTTGGGCCTTAAGGAATAAAGGAACTTCCAGGGATACCCGACTGAGGACGAAAATAGCATATTCCTGGAAGGTTGGGCAATCTACTTTCGTAGGGATGTCACCTCAGAAACCCAAGGAGGGGTTGCTATGAGTCGGGTCCAACTCAATGGCAGTGAGTTTGGTTTGGTTGTTGGTTTCTTTGTTCATTGTGATCATTTTTAGCCTTTCAGAAAAATGCCACATTCCGTTAAGCTACCCTAAAGAAAAGAGAATAATTTTTAAAACTCAGATTCCTTTCACCTAGATTTAAAGGTTGTTTCTGCTTTTCCATTCCTCCTTCCTATTTTGGGCAGATGTGCTTTGAAGTCAGTTATAGACATCGTGCTATTTGACGCCTAAGTATTTCAACACGAGTCTCTAAACAATAAGGGCATTTTCTACATAACCTCAGTTAGGGCACCTGAGAGAGTCAACAGCGATTTATTAACATCATTATCCCTTCATCCAAACTGAAATGTCCTCGTTGCCCCTCAGTCAGGACAGCTGGTTTGTTGGGTCCGGGAGCCAGGCAGGAGCCACAGCTGCATGGAGCAGTGAGTCCTTCCATCCATGTCACCACTCCCCTCGTTCATGGCCGTGCTGGCTGACAACACCAGCAGTTCTGTGGGCTGTCCCTCCCTCTGGTCGGGTCTGGTCACCTCTTGCTGTCATGGAGTTTGTTCCTCTAACTCCCCACTTTCGTGTGAACTGGAAATTAGATGGAAAGATGCCCCAAGATTCCATCTACATATTTGTGGCAAGAAAGTAAACTTCTTACTGTCACCAGGGGCACGCAGTCGGCCTGTTCCCCTGAAGAACATTTTATACTAAGACTTTGCTTACTCTGAAACAAAGATGGGCTTGCAGGGATCTGTGGCAAATTCAGAAAACCATAAAGAAGAAAATTGTGCTTTAAAAAAATCTAATCTAACTTTAAAAGCAGGAATATTTTCAGCAACTCTCTTTTTCCCTGCTTCTAAATGAACACACACGCAGTGTTGAGAGTTTAGAAAATAGAGAAAACAAAAGAAATAAAATTAAAATCACTTGTGAGAATTCCATCATGAAAACAGCACCCATTAAGGTGTTTTCTTCCTCTCTCTGTCTCCCTCTTTCTCTCCATGTACATATTTTTTCTTCTTCTTTTTATAACAAAACTGTGCTGTTTTATATGAGTTTTGTTCGCCTATCTTTGTGATGTAATATTACATGGACTTTTTCAGTCCAAAAAGAGCATTTAAAAAAATAATATTTTCTCTTTGGATTATTGCAATCGTAATTGTTGGAAGAAGGACGATGTTCATTTTGTTTTTCATGCCCGTGTCTAGTTGGGTAATTTTAGTTTTAAAATAAGCGAAAAATTAAAAGCTTTCTCCCTGCTTCCCTATCCCTGCTTCTCCCCACCGTCCCTGCCACCCACCTGAGAGACCTTGTCTGTGTCTGCTTCCGTGACAGGGTGCAAGAGCCGTGGGTGGGCAGAGTTGGGGTGCTCGCGCTGCTGGGAGCCAGCACCCAGGCCTCAGGCAACATCACTGAAATAAGGTGAGTCCAGGGACAAGGTGTCCTGGGAATTCTCCATCTTTTCATGACCCTTGGGACCTTCCCTCATTTAGACGTTGGCCTTTTGTCCCGTGGTGAACAACTGCATCCCCAAGATGGTGGGACCTTCTAGGGCACATGTGGGGGTGACACCAGCTTGTTGGGATGTGTGTATGTCAGGCCACAGTGCCAGAGAGAGGAGTGTCACCTAAGATTCCAGACAAAGGGGGTCGTATCCCAGGATGCTCCTGCTGGAATTCCAGGCTGTCTGTCCTGGAAGTGGCCCCTGGCTTACAGTCACTTAGACCATGGCTTTGCGACCAGGGATGACAGAGTGACATGGAGTAGCTAAGAGCAAGGGTTCTGGCATTTCACTGACCTCTTTTCAGATCCCAACTGAGCCACTTGCTGGCCTGGGCCCATTACTGGGCTCTCCTGACCGTGACCACCTGATCTATAAGATGGGGACAGTTACTCCCTCTTGGTGCAGCTGAATGAGGGTTGTATGTGTAAAGCACACAAGGACCTTTGACAGGCTGTCATTAGTAGAACAGCCTGCCTCTTGCTTCTACCCGCTTTCCTCCAGGAATGAGCAAGGAATGGCTCTGGAGGACTTTGGCCACCACCTCAGCGTCTCCCTCAGCCCTTTCCACAAAGACCACCCCCTCACCCCATAGTTACAGTATTCAAATAAAAGCCATGAGCTCAAAGTGCAAATACAGCCTCCCAGGCTCCCAACCACATCGTGGCCCTTGAATCAATTTTGGAACTTCCCTTGGATCCCTTGATGGCTCTCCATTGTGGTCAGAAAAGCCTCAGCCATGTATGAACTTCCAGACTTTTGGTGTGTGTGACCCGGCAAAGCAAGTGCTTTCTTATCCCCAAGCTGGGCCCTAGCGTGTGGAGAAGGGAGAAGGGGACCACGGTCTGGGTCTGGGAGCCCAGAGTCGGGAGGCCAGGAGGACCCAGCGGACCCAGCACTAGCTCAGCCTTCCCGGAAAAGCTGCTCCGGGTCTCACGCTGGTACCTCTTCCCTCCCCAGCATCTCTGAGACCCAGCAGCAGCTCTGTGTCCAGCTGGAATTTCCCCGTCAGGAGGAGAACGCAGAGGCCGTGGCCCTCAGGTGGGACACAGCACCTGGGAGCCAAGAGGGTGGCTGGGGTAGGGCGCGGCCACTTCTGACCAATATTTCTCAGGGCCCTGCTCAGTTCTTTGATGTTCCAAGTCTCTGTGTAGTCTATGAGGTCTGACCCCACTTGTCTTTCCATGCTCTCCATTCATACCCCAAGCCCTAATCTCTGCTGCAGCCACCCCCCCACCACCAGCTTACAGCATCACCTTGCTCCCTTTGACCTCAGGGCCTTTGCACAGGCTGTTCCCTGTGCCCAGAATGCTTTCTGCCCTTCCACCCCTTCCTCCTTCTTCGCCTGGCTAACTCATCTTTCTCTTTTCAGGTCTCAGCTTAAATGCCATCACCTCAGGATAGCCCCCCAGAGCCCCCCAGAACTGCGAGAGTAAGCCCAGTCCTGTTATCACTCTTATAGATGCTTGGATTCACAGCATCTTTAGTCCATATAACACATTTTTTGAAACTAGGCTAAGGCATCCCCTTTGGATAGATGCAGCCCTGCAGGTGTATGTTTTGGGAATTGGAGTACGTCTGGAGGTCACACTCAGTTCACCTCAGCTGGCTGCCCTTGTGCAGTCAACAACCTGCACAGCCATCCCAGCCACTCCCCCATACCCTCCTCTATAGCACTTCTCATAATTAAAACAGCAAATTGTGGGACTTTATTTGATTAACATTTATTTACCCCGATACCATAAGCTCCTTGAGGGCAGGGACTGAGTCCCTGGTGTTCAGAACTGCCACCTCCCGTCTGCCCCTAGGCTGGCTCAGTGTGACCTTGGGACCCACCACAGCCTTCTCGTCACGCAGCTGATGGAGACATGTGCCAAGCTGCGGCAGCTCAGGTCAGCACCCCGAGCCACTGTCTCTGTGCCTGGCCCTCAGTCCCAGGTCTGGAGCCTTGAGTTCTCTGACTGGGCAGGTTGAGGATGGAGCAGTGCTAGACTCTGGCCTTCTCGCTTCCCTATGCAGACAGAATCACACTTGGGCAGTCAGAGCCCTGGGGAGGCATGGGGGGAGCCCTGGCCACCGGGAGCTCCTGGGTGGTCCTCCCCCCCTCGGGGCCTCCCCATCTGTGTGTGATGGCCCTGAGAGGCATCCAGCCCTGCAATCCTGTGGCGTATGCTTGGGCTTTTTCAGCTTGTCCCAGGTTAACCTCTGTGACACCAGCTCCCTGCTGCTGCAAAGCCTCCTGCCGTCTTTCTCTGAGCTGAGGAAATTCAGGTGAGCAGACAAAATACATGCCCCCTTGCAGCTCTGCCCTGCCCTACCCGCTGTCCCTGGCCTCAGAAGAAATTTCAAGTGGTTCAGAAAAAGAGGGGGAGAGAGGGAAGGTGGGGAGAAGGGAAGGAAAGAGAATAATAAAGCAGATGTGAAAAAATACTGATAAAGGTTGGATTTGGGTCAATGGGACACAGCGTTCTTTGTATTCTTCGCACCTTCTCCTGGCTTGGAATGATTCCAAAATAAAAAGTAAAAAATAAACAAAGGGGGTAGCGGGGAGAAAGAACGTTGAAAAGGAATAACTTTCTTGCCTGTAACTCAATGTTACCAAGGTCTACTCCAGGACCACTTACAGGCAACTCGCAGGGTGTGGACCCAGAACAACAATGATAAGTTAAATGACAGGCCTGTAATACTCAACTACAGCACGAATTGTGAAGGTTCTTTGTGAATGATGGGTGGTTTAGGGAAATCTCCACTCGTTCATGTTCCTGCCTCAGGCTATATCGTGACCTAATGATTCCATGGTGGGAGAGATTCATGAAGGGAAGAAGGCCCCTGGCCAGAGCCCTCAGGAACCACACCCCTGCCCTGTGTCCTTGCCCTCTGCTCCCAGTGTCCAGAGCTCCTGGCTGACCTGCTACCCTTTGACCCCACCAGGCTGACCTCCAGCTGTGTGAGCTTCGAGGGCCTCACCCACGTGGCATCTGGCCTGAGCCACTGTCATGACCTAGAGGAGGTGGAGTGAGTTTCAGGGTTGAGGGGCCATTGGAGGGGTGGTCCAAACTCTGGGCACAGGGTGAAGAGGGCATTTGGCCCTTGGGTAAGGTGGGCAGTGAGATTTCAACCTATTACTTTTCTTCTTGCTCAAGTCCAGCAAATCTGTGGACTGGGAAAGGCTGAGCCCCATGTTCTTGGTCCCAACTTTACCACTGACTCATAGAGTGACTCAGGGCAAGGAACGAATGCTTGGGCTTTGATCCTCGCATTGTAACATGGAGCTTGTAACCCTGCCTAGGGCGCCTGGAGGTGCTGAGGTGCAGAGAGGGCTAAGAGGTGGAAGGGCCAAGTGTGTGCTGCATGCATGCTGTCCTCGCCCCAGCTTCCTCGTCTGCAAGTCTCATTCCAGAACTCAGGGCTGGGTCTTGTGTGACTGCCTTGCCCCTCCTCCTGCGGGGACCCCACAGCCTGACCCTTGGGGCCAAGAATGCCCCCCATGGAGTCTGGACAGGAAGGGTGTTCCAGGATCTGCAGACCGGGAGTCGGAGCCACCCTCCTGGGGAACTGAGCAGGGCTGGGGTCCGACGAGGGATTGGGCAGGTGCATCTAACCTTCCTCTATGCTTATTCCTCTCCAGCTTGTCTAACAATCAGTTCAGCGAGGAGGGCACCAAGGAGCTGGTGGGGACTCTGGAGGGGAAGTTCAGGCTGAAGAGACTTGAGTAAGTGGTAGTGATGGTGGCTAATGGTGGGGGTGGGAGAGTCGGGAGGGGGCCTAGGAACTTTGGCCTCTTATGAATTCAAGGTGTGAAGTCCTTGGATAGAGCCAGGTGAGCTGAATGCCCTCCTAAGATCTTTTGCTTCCTTTCTTGGCTCTGATGGCCAGAAGGATGCTTGGTCACAGCAAAGAGAATACCCAACTCAAACTGGCCCAGGAATCTGTTGGCTCATGTCATAGGGCTGACTTCAGGCATAGCTGGATCCAGGGGCTCAGTGTTTGTCAGGCCATACTCTGTATCTGTCTATCTACTTACTACTGTCTATCTATCTGTCTGTCTGTCTGTCTATCTAGCTTGTCTTCATTGTCAGGCAGGTACTCCCTGCAGCATCGGGCTTACTTTCTATCATCTCAGTGGAAAGGGAGTACCCTTCTCTGGCACTTGCAATAAAAGGTCCTCGATGGAATCTCACTGGATTAGTTGGGGTCACGTGCCCATCCCTAACCAATCACTGTGGTTCTGAGAATAGAATCTTCTAATTGGCCAGACCTGGGTCACATGCTCACTCAATTATCTGAATTTCATGAGGTGGTACTTCAGGGTGCTATTAACAGAAGAGGAATCCCAAGGTGGTTCAAATGATTAACGCACTCAGCTGCTGAGCAGAAGGTTGGCTGTTCAAGTCCACCCAGAGGGACTTCAGAAAACAGGCCTGGTGACCGACGGCCAAAATACCAGCCATTGAAAGCCCTATGGAGCTTCTATGCTGATGCACATGGGGTGAACAGGAGTCAGAACTGGCTTGACGGCAGCTGGTTTGGTTTTATTAACAGAAGGGGACACAAACTCTGGCAGAAAAAACCCACAGCGGTCCACTGAGTGTGTTATTTGTTGGCAATTGTTTCCTTAGTAACCAGCAACTTTTATTCTCACCCATAATGTGGAGTCACCAAAAACTTAGGAACACCAGAAATAGCCTCAATCTACAGGATAAGACCTCACCCTGCACAGACCCCTGTGGGAACAGGTATCCGGGCAAGAAAAATGAACAGAGCACTTTCCGCTTTTGAAGTCTTTCTGATGATCAGAAATATACACTGATCATTCCGTCATTACAGAAATGTGTAACAAAGAGCATGAAACCCTCTGGTGATGAAAACTCCTGAGAAAACCTCTGGCAACAGTTGGGTGAATTTTTCTCCAGATATTTTTCTCTGTATGTTTTTAATACCGTTTTAAATATAGATCTTTTGGGATTTTGTCCTTTAACACAGAAATTCTCACACTCATCCCTCTCTGCCTGTCCTGGGGAGAGGGTCTAGTGGGAGGAAGAGAGGAATTAGGGAAACCTGTGACCAAAGGATCCTCCTTTCTGCCAACTTCTTCATTGGCCTCCTCCTAGCTGCCTGCATCTCTGCTCAACCTCTCTTCTTTCTGGAAGCTTTTATTTGGTGCGTTGGAAGTCCAGTGAGGTCATTCATTGGCTCATCCTTGCATTTGACAAATACATATTTAGCCAAGGCTGGGAGACTCAGGTACTCTTGGGGGAACAGGACAGATCCATCCAAGCCTCCACTGGCACCCATGGCCTCGGGTCTTGCTCTTTCTCCTGATTTCATAGGCACCTACTGCTGCTCCCTATCTCTTGCTGCCTCAATTAGCCTGTCTATTTAATAGGCCTAAGGCACTTGACTGCTAACCAGAAGGCTGGTGGTTCAAACCCACCAGCCACTCCTCAGAAGGAAGGTTGGGAAATCTACTTCCACAGAGATACCGCCTCAGAAACCCAAGGAGGGGTCGCTATGAAATGGTTCCAACTCAACGGCAGTGCATTTGGTTTGGTTGGTTGGCATGCAGAAGTTAGACAATGAATAAGGAAGACCCAAGAACAGATGCATTTGAATTAAGGTGTTAGTGAAGAATATTGAAAATACCATGGGCTGCCAGAAGAATAAACAAATCTGTCTTGGAAGAAGTACAGCTGGAATGCTCCTTAGAAGCAAAGATGGTAAGACTGTATCACACTTACTGTGGACATGCTATCAGGGACCATGTCTGGAGAAGGCCGTCATGCCTGGTGAAATACAGGGTCGGTGGAAAAGAGGAAAGCTGTCAACGAGATGGACTGATACAGCGGCTGTAACAGTAGGCTCAGACCTACCTCCTGTTGTGAGGATGGCACTGGACCCAGCAGCATTTAGCTCTTTTGTACATGGAGTCACTATGAGTCGGGCCAACTTGACGGCACCCAACAACAACATTGATACCTTCCTTGTCTAGAAGCACAGGATGGACCCTCACTGCCCAGAGGCCTCTTCCAGTTTCAAATCTGTCATTCCCACATGTTTCCTCGCTGACAAGCAGTGCCCCTTAAATCCAGCTGGCTTCTTCACCTGTCCAACCACAGTGAAATGACCAGAGGCATGAACCTTGATTAGAAGCCACACTGCCTGTGTTCAATTCTTGGTATGGTGACCCACTATCTCAGCTCTAGAACTAGAAAGTCCTATGTCCTAGAAAGCTCCTCAGTTCTAGGAAGACCAGAGTAGTTGGTCATCTCTACTTATTACTGTGTGAGATTGGGAAAGTTCCTTAACCTCTCTGTGCTTTAGTCTCATCTTAACTTTGGAGGTAATAGCAATACTTACCTCCTAAGGTTGTTGTGGCAATCCTACTTCCATAGTGATACTGCCTCGGAAACCCAAGGAGGGGTCGCTATGAGTCGGGGCCGACTCGACGGCACATAACAACAACAACAACAACAAGGTTGTTGTGAGGATTAAATGAGATAATACATGTTAAGAGCTTAGAACAGAGCTGTTATTATTATTGTTGCCCTGTTCCACCCAGGCTGGGGAACTTGAGGAGGGAGATTTCATGGGTAGCTCATGGTCAGGGCCCAAGAATGGCAGACTTACAGCCTTGGGTTCTGCTCCTGAGGCTACCACTTTTGGTGTGTGACCTTAAGCCAGTTTTCTAATTCTCTGAGCCTCAGTGTTCCGCATCTGTGAAATGGGGATGATAACGGACCCACCTTTGAAGATGGCCCTGAGCCCAGTGCCTGGCCCACAGTCTATGCTCAGTATGTGGTGGTCATTATCACTGATCATTGGTCTGGGTCCAGCTATGATTCAGAACATAGAACTATTGCCTGGGTGACCTTAGTCATTCATGCAGGGAGATGCCACTTGGATTTCCCAGTGCTGCCTTGTTTTATAAGTGACTTCTCGGAGGACCTGGGCATTTTGTTAACCACAGAGACTACAAGCCCCTGGACTAGACAGGCCTCAGTGTGCACCTGAGACCCGACTCCAGAAATCCCAGGTCCTTACCTGGTCTCTTCTCCTCTAGCCTCAGCTCCCTTCCTCTGGGAGGCTGGACCCTAGATGTGCTCACTCAAGGACTAAGCCACATGACCCTCCTGCAGAGCCTCGTGTGAGTGACCACGGGGCCCTAGGGGAACTAGTAGAGGACACACTGCCCAGCTCTCCTGGCACTGCCACCCAGAGAACTTCCGAGGCACCTCCCTGGCACCCTCCTCTCCCGGGGACATCTCAGGGGCCTCCCGGGTCGGTGCTCACTGTTCTTGCCTTCCAGTGCAACCAGCTTCTTCTTCTTCCCAGCTACAAAAGTCACCTGAAGGGGTTGGGCCCAAGTCCTAGAATAACTCTTGTTCAAGCCTTAATGTGCACAGGCATCAAATGGTAATTCTGCCTCAGCAGGTCTGGGGGCTCTCAATGCTGCGTTTCTATCCAGCCCCCAGATGATACTGATCCCAGAGGCCCACAGACCACACTGTGGAGGTCTCTGAAGGTCTAGACTCAGATTTGGCAGTCTTGTGATTTTCAACCCTTGCCCACTTTGATCAATAAATAAATATATAGCACTCTCTTCTTAACATAATCTTTTAAAATATGAAATATTATGACTAAAAGCAAATTTAAGCAAGGACACAAAGCTTTGCTTTGCTTTTATCCAAGCACTTCACCCTGACTCTGGTTGAGTAAAGAAGACAGGAAATGAGGTCAGAGACTGGTGGCTGGAAGGCATTGGGGGTGCAGATCCTAGGAGACCATCCCATTTGGTCATTTCTCCTAAAATTGATTTACAGAAGGCAGTTCACATTTTGATTTGCTGAAACAAAACAACCCTCAGACACATACCTTGACATGAGGCTAAGAGAGTTCACCTCCACTCTTTGGTTTTCTTTTTCTCCACTTGGAGGAAAGGCAAGGTCAGGGCACAGAGAAGACGATAAATTGGGTTTAAGGAAAAGCCCACCCTGTGTGGATTAGAACACATGTACCCTTGAGCAGTGACTTGCCTGAGCTGTGGCATTTGTCCCTGCTATAGAGTCGAATCTGACTCGGAGCGACCCCTCCTTGGGTTCTGAGGTGGTATCACTACAGAAGCAGATCACCCAATCTTCCTTCCAAGGAGTGGCTGGTGGGTTTGAACCGGTTAGCAGTCAGATGCCCTAGGCACTAAGCTACGAGAGCTGCCTTTTGGTTTTTTTCTTTTCTTTTTTGGGGGGTGGCATTTGTATGAAGTTGGCCTTCCTTCAGCCTGGCCTGACACACCCCCAACACAGAGGCTGACGTAAAGCCTGGCAAAGCCAAAAAGTACAGAGACTGTTCTCAGCATTCGATGACCCGGCCTGCTCCCAGGCCAGTATTCCAGCCTTGTCTCCATCTTGCCTATGAATTGCTGTGGGTCTCTGGCCAGTCACGGCTCCTCTATTGGCCTCAGTTTTCTCACTTAGACATTGAGGACAGTGGTTCCCTCCCTGCTCACCATTACTCCCCCTCCCCCCCCGCAACCCTAAATTTTTGTGGGTGGCACATGAGTCCCTAGATGGGAAAAGGCTTTGCAAACTCTAGAGTTCTCAGCACAGCACCTGCAAAGGCCTCTCACTGCTGACTGACAGGCCTCTTGGCCTATTACCCACTTCTCCAGTCTGAGCAGGAATGGCATGGGGGATATCGGCTGTTACCACCTTTCTGAAGCTCTCAGAAGTGCCACCAGCTTGGAGGAACTGAGGTGAGTTGTCTGTCCCTCCCCTCGACCCAAGCAAGACAGCTTTGGCGGGGTGGAGGGAGAGACACATGATAACAGCAAGGCCATTTGAGTGCAGTCTTCTCTGCTTGGTCCTGTCCCCTCCACGCCCACTTCCACACTCTGCCAAACCCCAAGCTTGGAACCTTGGGAGACACGAGACAGGAGGTGCGAGCATCAATTGCAGCAAGAGGGATTTAGATCAGACGTCAGGGGGAACATCCTAAGCAGAAGAGTCCCTGCTGACACTGGGAGATGATGGAACCCTTTCCCTGTGGGCTGAGGCCCTTCCCTAGCCCTCAGCCCCGCCTTCCGTCTTAGTTATCTCGGGCTGCTGTAACATACATCCCAGACACGGGGCCCGTCGTTGAACACAAATTCATTTTCTCTCAGTTCTGAAGGCTAAAAGTCTAAATCAAGGTCTCAGCCTTGGTGGTGACCCTGGGCATTCCTTTGTTCCTTGGCATACCGTGGCTTGTAGATGACACTCACATGGTGTCTGTCTTCTCCCATATGTGCATGTGTGTGTGTGCATGTGTGTCTGTGTGTCTGCATGTATCTCTGCATGTGTTTCTGCCTTGTGTCTTGGCGTGTGTGCCTCTGTGTTTATGTGCATGTGTGTCTGCACACGTGTCTGCACGCATACATCTGTGCATGTGTGTGTCTGCATGTGTGCCTGTGTGTCTGTGCGTGTGTGTCTGTCCGATCTGGTCTTAGTAACTCAGACATGATTAGATTCAGAACTCAACTCCACTGGTGTGACCTCATTAACATAACAAAACAAAAACCTATTTCAGGATCAGATTACCACAGGGGCCAGGATTTCTACACGTATTTTGGGGGGACCCAACGTGTCCACACACCTTCTGTTTGGGGTGCGAGTGTCAGCAGGATGGGGTGGGTGGCAGGCTGATGGTCCTCATTCTCTGCTGTTCTCCTCCCAAGCTTGAGCCACAACCAGATCGGAGACGTGGGTGCCCAGCACTTAGCTGCCGTATTGCCGGGACTGCCTGAGCTCAGGAAGATAGAGTGAGTCCCAGCCATACCGATCGGGGCCCACACTGGCCAACCTGGGTCCTCAGAGCCACCACCCCCGGACTCAGGCTGGCAGTGGAAGCTCCCCCCTCTCCCAGCCCCAGTGTCCAGGCAATGGAGCTGGGTGACCAGCTGGCCCTGCCCCATCCTGCTAACTGTGGGACCTCAGCTGATCCAGCCTCTGCTCCTCTCTGGCCTTAGTGCTCCAGGAGGCTGCAAAGGTGTGATGGAATTTGTCTGTTAGGGCCCCTGCATCTGGGGTGGCAGTCCCAGCAGATATGGGGGTGGGGGGGGAGGAGGGGGAGCAAGGTTCTGATGTCCGCCCCTCCCTCAGCTTCTCAGCAAATGGCATTGGCCCTGCGGGGGGAGTGCAGTTGGCCGAGTCTCTGAGCCTCTGCAGGCGCCTGGAGGAGCTGAGGTGAGTGTCTGCCCATGTGGGCTGTCCCTGCTCCTGTACCCTGCAGGCCCCTGGTCCTCCTCTCCCCCATGGGCACAGAGCAGGGGTCCTGAGCGGCCAGCCCAGGGCTCATCACTCACCCCCTCCTCTTCCAGGCTTGGGTGCAATGCCCTGGAGGATCCCACAGCCCAGGTGCTGGCTCGTGGGCTGCCTTTGCACCTGAGGGTCCTTCGGTGAGTGTTCCCCTGTCCACGGTGCATGGCTGCACCCACCAGTTCACAGCCCCCATCAACTGAGCTGGCCCTGACTTAGGTCAAACCACGGCCTGTCCTGGGACTGGCTGCCCCTCTCTCACCTGCTCCTTCTTACCGCTGGGGGTCAGAGGCAAGTCTGGGGCCAGGAAAGAACACTGGCCTCTGAGTTAGGAGACCCGGCCTCATCCTGCCTCTGCCATTGACTTCCTGTGTGTCCTTGGCCAAGCCCCTATCCTCTCAGAACCTCAATTTCCCTATATGTAAAACACAATAGTCCCCTCTCAGCCTGTTGTGAGCCCATCTCAGAATGAGGGAAGATGAGGAAATGTCAGCAAAGGGCTGTGCAGGGAAAAAGCCCCAAGCAGCAAGGGCTCAGCACTTTACAGTTTACATCCATGGTCTTGTTGGAGCTTTAGAGCAGCCCCTCTGGACCAAGATTATGATTTACTCCATTTTCAGGCAAGGATACTAAGGCCAGGAGAGGTGTTGAGAGCTTACCTTCATGTAATAACATGAAGGAGCCAAGCCTTGAACTTGACATCTCAGATCCTAAAGACAGGGCCTTTGGTACCCTCCCAGGTCCTGGGGCAGGAGTAGGGGGGCTTGGTGGCAGTTACCCTTACTTGCACTGGCTTTGCCCAAAGACCACCTATAGTCTGATAGTAAAATCTGAGACAGGCTGAGAGTGGGGGATGTGGGAGGCCCCCGAATCCCTATACCTGGTCCCCCAGACACCTCTCACCCATTTTCCTTCCCCTAGTCTGTCCTCCAGCCGCCTGGGTCCAGAGGGGGCGATGAGCCTTTGCCAGGCTCTGGATGGATGTCCACAGTTGGAAGAGCTGAGGTGAGTAGAACCACTGAGACTGGACAGGGGGACAGGCTGGCAAGGGTCTGGGGGTTCGCCTCACTGGTGTCTCCCTCACCCTGCAGCTTGGCAGAGAACAGCCTGGCTGGAGGGCTCCCACTGTTCTCTGAGGGGCTCCCGCTGCTCAAGCAGATCGAGTAAGTGGCTTCCCTGATGGCCTGGGGCCAGCACCTCCTTGTCCTGGGGCAGGTGGGAGCAGCCTTGGTCTGGCCAAGCCTGACACCAAGGGACACCTTTGAAGTGGCAGGGCCCTCATGGGTGGGGGGAGACTGGAGCACCAAAGGGGGTGCTTTCCTGCCCAGAGCTGCTGCTCAGGCCCCTGCTGCCCTGATTGCAGGGCAGGAAGGGGGGTTCCAGCTAGCAGCCTCCGATGTTCTGTGCTCCCCTTCTCTGTCCCCAGCCTGATTTCATGTGAAATTGACAACCAGACTGCCACACTCCTTGCTGCCAGCTTTGTGCTCTGCCCAGCCCTGGAAGAAATCCTGTGAGTGCTTGGAAAAGCCCTGAGCTGGGAAGAGGGGCCTCTGGGAGATGTGGCCTGGAGCTGGTCCCCTTCTCTCATGTCTGGTGTCCCATGTGTAAGTGGGGTAGATCATTCTTGCCTAAACTTCCTTTAAGGAAGTTGGAACACTTGAGCTGCCTGCGATGGTGGGCAAAGTCATTCAGCTCCTGCCTGTTTGCCCATTGTAGGGTGGGTGAGAAGGGAGAGGAACCAGATAGTACCTAGGGGCTCAGTGTCCCTGACCTTCGTTTTCAGAGGCAGCTAAATAGACCGCCTCACCTGTTTTATGGTGGTATAGTGCCTAAGGCACTTGACTGCTAACCAGAAGGTTGGTGGTTCAAACGCACTAGCCACTCCATGCGAGGAAAAGTGGGCAATCTACTTCTGTCAAGATTTACTACCTTGGAAAGCTAAAGGGGGTTCCTATGAGTTGGAATTGACTCGATGGCAGTGAGTTTTGTTTTGTTTTGTTTTGGTTTTTTTGGTCTCTGTAGTGAAGAGGGGCTGGAGCCAGTAGGCCCCAAACCTGCCGCTGGCAGTACCTGGTTCCCTCTTGGCAATCAGCGGTGCTCAGGATTTGGGACTTTGTGGTGCTGCTTCTGGCTTAACCAGACTGCTGAGAGCTAGCCTGGGTCCTAACCACACTGGCAGAAAATGCTGTTTCCTGAAGTACAGGACACCTTGGTTACAAAGATCCGCATCTTTAAGGCTTTAATCCTCCTCCTGACACTTGACTGCTAACCAGAAGGCTGGCGGTTCAAACCCACCAACCACTACTTGGAAGGAAGGTTGGGCAATCTACTTCCATAGTGACACCGCCTCAGAAACCCAAGGAGGGGTCGCTATGAGTCAGGTCCCACTGATGGCACATAACAACAATAACAACCTGACACCAAAGAGAAAGTCTCAGATTGGCGCTAAATCGTCTTTAACACCTAACACTGGGGCTTCTCTCTCTCTCTCTCTCTCTTTTTTTTTTTTTACATTTTTATTGTGATTTGGGTGAAAGTGTACAGATCAAATTCATTTTCCATACAGCATTTCAGACATGTTTTGTTTCATGACATTGACTGCGAAACCCCACAGTGTAAAAGTTCTCCTCCCACTTCCTCCCCATAGTGACCTCCTCCCTGTGTCCTTCCCTCCCATGCACTCCTGCACCCCCCGCTGTCTCCCTGTGCATACACTGCCCTTCTGTTCTCCCACAGTTGATCATTCCAAGGAGTGTATCTACCTGATTTAAATGTTCGGTCCATATGCCTATTATTTGGCTGGAAGCCACAGGAGTGAGTTCAATTCCAGACCTGAAGGGCAGCTAGGGGCCATAGTCTCAGGGGTCTCCCCAGGCTCTATCAGGTGCTTCTCCCTTTTCAACAAACAGGAAGCAGGCCAGAGGCCGAGCACCTAAGGAAAGTGCTGAGGCACCAGGTAGAAGTTCAAGTTCACACTGTTGTTTGTGCTGTGTTTATCCTGTGGCTTTCCTTCTATCTAGGGTCTTAACCACAGGATTCCCACCGATCGTAGTAATAAGTATTTCCTTCTAAGATTAATCTCATTTAAAAAATTGGACAAGAGGGGTTGATTTAAAGAAAAATATAATGATTGTTTAGGATTATTTTTAAAATAATAGTATAGGCAATGCAAAACTTATACATGTGCAAAACCTGCGATGACACCAGGTGCTTGGTGGACGTTCGGGTGACAGTGCTGTGGACCCTCCGTCCCAAACTCCAGACCAAGCCTGGGACTCGGGACAGAGCCAGCTCCTGAGCTGTCTGGGTTGTTGAGAGAGGGCTGGCTGAGGAAGGGGGGAGGTGGAGAAGAAGCCACCTGTTTCCTTGAAAGTCTTCAGGCCCCCCTTGGTTGGCTCCCAGAACTCCCCACCCCCACCACTCTGCCTTGTCTCCACCCCCACTGATTTCCTGCCACTGACCTTGACCTTGAGAACCCCCTCCCCCCACAGATTGTCCTGGAATCTCCTCGGAGATGAGGCAGCTGCCCAACTGGCCTGTGTCCTGCCGCAAATGAGTCGGCTGAAGAGAGTGGAGTATGCCGGACACATCCTGGGAACCCAGGGCGGTGGGGGGGCTGATGGGGTGCCCACATTCTGGAGAAAGCCTCCCAGGAAGGCCTCCTCGAGCTGTGCACTCTGGCCAGCTCCAGGCCCCGCCAAGCTTAGCTTTCCCTACAGTCCAGACTTCACATGAGTCCACTCTTGTCTGGTGGGTCCTCTGGGAAGGCAGAGGGGGGAGTCGGAGTCCCTCATCTTGGCCTGGGGAAGGGGGACAGAAAATCTCTCTCCCCAGCCTCGTACCAGTCTCTCTTTTTCCCCTGCCTCTGCTGTCCACTGGGAAGCTTGGAGAAGAATCGCATCACAGCCTATGGAGCCTGGCTCCTGGCTGAAGGGCTGGCCCAGAGGCCTGGCATCCAAGTCATCCGGTAACAGGGGATTACGGGGGCAGGACTGATGGGTGGGTGGCCACAGTCTAAGGGGACTCCCTGTAGGAGGAAGCAGGACCTAAGGTGTGGACTACTAAAGGAAGCTTGACCTGCTCCAACAAGAATTTGGCAGCAATCAGACCTGGATCAAATCCCAGCTCTGCCATTTGCCAGTTGTGTGACTCTGTATCAGTGGTTCAACCTCTCTGAACCTCTGTTTCCTCATCTGTAAAATGAGGATGATGATAATATCTGTCTCAGAGGGTACAGAGCATATAAAGCACTGAGCCCAATGCCTGGCACATAGCAAGCACTTAAAATGGTAGCTATAATCAGGACTACCACATACAGTTGGATAGGTTGTGCACTGCACAAGGGCATTGTGTCTAAGGGGGCACCACTCACATTATAGACAGGACAGATTCCTAGTAAGTGGTAGTAAAATCTCTTATTCTATCAAATGTCTTTATTCTATCAAAACCAGTATATTATGCATGTAAGGGTCTTGAAAAAAGGGAGCCTTGTCTTTATTTGCACAAAGGGGTCATGTGAGCATGGTTCTGGTTGAGACTGTTAGCTTCTGGAGGAGACCAAGTAGGAGAAGCCAGGTTGTGTGGGAGACACCATCTCCCTCGGGTCGCCATGCTGGCCTAATACCTACCTCCGCCAGTAACTGGGCATGGCTCTTCCCCTCTGGGCCTCAGTTTCCCCATCTGTGGATGGGACATGGGACAGAGACAGGGGGATGAATGAGCAACTCCTGATCTGTCTCTGTGTCCCACAGCCTCTGGAATAACCCCATCCCCTCTGACATGGCCCAGCGTCTGCAGAGCCAAGAGCCCAGGCTGGACTTTGCCTTCTTCGAAGACTATCCCCAGGCCCTTCAGAGTACTTGATGGCCCCTTCAAGACTGTTGGGATCCAGCTGAGTGATGCCGACTCCCACCCACAAGGAGCACCCTCAGCTGAGTGCCCCTGCATCTGCTCCAAGGAGTGTATTTGTCCGGCTGTATCCCTCAAGAAGCATTTAGCCAAAGGAGTGTACTGAAATACATGGATGTGTGCTACCAGTTGGGAACAGGGGGCATGATGAGGGTGCTATAATGTGATGGCACTGAGGGTCACGTTTGACCTTTTGACATGTGGCAATACATGGGGCTTGCACTGTGGCACATGGCATCAGTCCTAGCCGCATAGATGGGAGGATGGATACATGATTGGTGGTACATACATGACACTTAAGGAACCCTGATGGCACAGTGGTGAAGCATTCAGATGCTAACCAAAAGGTTGACAGTTCGAACCCACCAGCCACACTGCAGAAGAAAGATGTCAGTCTGCTTCCATAAAGATTACAGCCTAAGAAACCCTATGGGGCAGTTCTACTCTGTCCTATAGGTTCACTATGAGTCTGAATCAACTCAGTGGCACACAACACCACAGCATGACACATGGCAAAGGTCTATGCCGTATGATACATGGCTGGCCAGATGCCCTCAGCTGGTCCAAGATCTAATTTATTACTTTTTTTAGAAACCAAGTATGTATTTATAGATTGCCTTTCCAGAGCAGCTAACTCACGGAAAGTCTTCCTCCCAGGGCTGGGGGTTGGGGGGACGGCTAAGCACTGACTGGCCCAGCACCCCCAGGGTCAGAGCTCTGCGCCCAGCCAGAGACTCACCCCAAGGCTTCCAGATGATCCTTTTCCTGCCCTCTAAACCAGATGTTCCCCTTAAATGCTGGCTCCCCAGGACTTTGGGTTCAGGTCCAGGTAGAGCCAACCTGGCATTGGGAATGGACAGGCAGGGCTGTCCTGTTTAAGGGATGAACCCAGGTAGAAAGGTCCAGGGAAAGGGCACTGCCAAATCAGGAAAGGCCTCTGGTCCAGCCATACCTCAGTAGGATCTGGGGGACTCCCAGGGGCTGCATATGTTGCACAGTGTTCTTGTTACTTTCAAGAGGGTCCAAGGATGGCCCTTGTAAACGCTAAGCTAAGTCTGTCTAATAAATGTGGATGATCTCCCAGCCGTCAGTCTGAGCCTGATATTTCCTTCCACCCCCACCAAGGTCAGAAGGGGTCCACTTCATGCCCCAGGACTGGAGAGCAGAGCAGACGGTGGAGAGCGGGCCAAGGAGCACTCGTGTAGGAGTCAGGAGACAGGGATTTGAATGCTGACCCTGTCTCTCTATGATCCTGTGATCATGGGCCTCACCTGCAACCTGATCATGTGGTGGAAGCTCAGAGGTGTCTGAAACATTTTGTGTTTGACTTGCATAGTATTTAAACTCTTGCCTGAATTAATTGCTGATATTAACGATTGGGAGCTTTTAATAAAAATACAAATCTTTAGCTTCTCCTAAATGTTAGTTCAGGATTCCCACTCGACAGGAACCCACTGGAGCTGCACAATGCTGTGTACACGTGGAGCACATACTCATCAGTTTGCCACTACTCCCTATTGTCTTGCCCCCCCCCTCCCTTTTTATCTTTTTGCCCAGCCCTTGTGGGAGCCTACAAAATCCTAGCCTAAAAGGTTTCTAGTGGTGTGTGGCTCCTTAGGAACATGGTTTTAGAAGTTAGACAGATGTAGCATGAAATGTGACTTCCCCCTTGCTACCTGTCCTCACAGGCAGGAACTGTTTCAGTGCATGGATTAATAACACCACACACGGGACTACTGGAGTGTCATGGTACCTGGTATGAAACAGGTTCTCCTTACATACTAATTCCTTTCTCCTTTTAGGGTTGAATATCTTACAAGATGGGGAGATGCTTGAAATGGCAGGAGAATAGCATTCCCTTTCTCTTATTCGTGATTGCACGGAGGATTAAACCAGTTGCTCTCAGGGAAGCCTTCCTGTACAGCTGTGCCCCATTGTGAAGTGGGGCTGGGAGGATGCAGTTACTACCAGGCACCACTGGAGGGCAGGCTGGCCCATTGGCAATTCCTGAGACAATTTCCTTTACCCGTGGTTCCCAGAAGGAAGTTAGGAGGTGACGCTAGGGGCTGTTCACACCTGGGCCCAGGAGCCTGAGATGTCCTGGCTTACTACTGGGTTGGCCCAGAGGGTTCAACCTTGACCTTTGCCACCCTCCATGTTGTTTCCTGCTCCCCACCAAGCATGAGGAGAAAGTCCTCTGGTCCAATGCCAAGCATCCACACCCGACCCAGGCCACCCTTAACCATGCCAGGATCAGGGCACACCTGGCACTGAGTGGGGCCATCTGCCTGCCCATGGGGAAGGGTGGGCAGGCAGGTGATCCAAGAGGTTTACCCAGAAACCCTGGGCCCAAAATTCCATCTCCCCTTCCTGGGGCATGATATCAAGGTGACCTTGAGCCCCTCAGGGTGTACCTTGACACTCAGGTGAGTTGTACTTCCTTCCCTTGCCCAAGGTGGGGAGTGAGGCCCTTGAAGCCTGAAGATGCCCGACCAGGGAAGTCACGATTGAGGAATAAACAGCACCAGCCAGAGAGCGGGGCCAGGGAAGGGCACACGCGGGGTTTTCATTCTTTGCTGCTTATTCATTTTACTTTCTCTTCAGCTTTGTCCAAATTCACTCCAGGCCTCTTTGAGCAGCTGTCCTGAAATAAACCATGGCATGGTCAGCATTGCAGAGTGGCTGGGCCCACCTCAAAACCAAAAAAACAAACCCATTGCCAGCGAGTTGATTCCAACTCATAGTGACTCTTCAGGACAGAATATAACTGCATTATAGGGTTTCCAAGGCTGTACATCTTTACCAAAGCAAACTGCCTCATCTTTCTCCCATGGAGTGGCTGGTGGGTTCAAACCACCAACCTTTTGGTTAGCAACTGGATGCTTTAACTACTATGCCACCAGAGCTCCTTGACCCCACCTCAAGGTGGTGTGAAACTGCATTGCCCATTTTATTAGGAGACTTTTCCTGCCACCAGCCTGCTTGGAGGCCTTGACTATATGTCTCTTTCCAGCACTAAAGGGGTCCAGTCTCCCGGACTCCTCCCTCCCAAAAGTAGGCTCATCTAAATATAAACATGAAAACAAATAAACAGATTTGATGATGAATAAGGCCATGCACCAATAAGCAGTGGAATCAAAATGGCACCCCCAGTTCCTGCACAGGTGCCCACTCACTAAGAATGCGATCAGGCTGGTAAGTACCCGGGTCTATGTACAAGGCTGGGACAAGCTCCTTTTGCTACTGTCACTCGGCCTCCATCCTATGGTTTTGCAAGGTGGCCTATGGCCACCTTTATGGTGGTAGTCACAATCTCCCTTCCTGTCCTTGCACACAAGTGTCCAAGTGCCCCCAGATTGTCTCCTCTGTCCTAAGATTCAAGCTCAAGGCAGAAGTCCACGGTCCAGGCCAGTACTGGTCACACTATGAAAGTAGTTGCTGAAACTAATGTGCACAGACTCACCCAGGCATCTCGTTAACATGGAGATTGGGTTCAGCAGGTCTGAGGTGGGGCCTGAGATTCTAAGAAGCCCTAAGACTCCTGGTCTGGAGTTTGCTGTCTGTCTCAGAGGCTGCTTCTCTGGAAACTGAACTGGCCTTCGTTTTGCCCTGAGAGCGAGCAGTATTTTGGTCACCCTTCCTCACTAGTCAAGGAAACCGAGATCCATAGATTTTTCCTAACTTGCCCCAAAGCACACAGTAGTGAGTGGTAGCATAGGAATCGAACCCAGGCTTTTCCAACTCTTAACCCCACAGGTGCTGCTCCAGTTTCTTCATCTGTAAAGAAAGGGGCTGGACAAAATTAGACAAGGCACAAAGACCTACTTTCTTTGGCAGCAAAGATGACCTTATGGTTAATTTCAACGCTCCTCGGGAGGGATAGGAATCTTCCGTCCCCTCCCCAGGCTGGTTCTTTTTGTAGAGGTTCAGATCTGTGGTCACCTCTAGACCCACAAGGACAACCTCTGCAACAACTTCACCCATTTTACAAACGTGAAAACTGAGACCCAGAGAGGGAAGATCTGCCAGGTTGCAAGTATTGAATGGGGCTCAGTTTCCAATTATGGACAAGAAGGAAAGGGGGCCTTCGGTGGGATTGAGCTGGCCGGAGGTCTGTGCTCCTTAGAGATGAAAGGCCCCCAGGGTGGCAGGAGGGCCGAGCACCCTTCCTGGGCCCTGCTTCTTCTCCTGGTGCCGCCTTCGCAAGGCTAAGGCCAGGCCTGAGGAACGGTAGCCCTAGCGAGAGCCAGACACACCCTCTGGACAAAACCAGAGCTTCTTAGGAGAAGCCCTGGCAGTGGCTGGTTTGGTTGAAGGTCCCCCACGGCTGGCTCAGGAAGTTCCAGATGGCAGCTGGTTTTCCTCCAACCTCCTAATCACCCCTCTGAAGAACCTCCCAAGCTGGGACCCTCCCTGTCCCTCCAGCCCTTGGAAGACACACATTGCAGGCTCATTGCAGCACACACCCCAGTACCACCCTGGCTGCCTATAAAGGGACTTTTGTCCTGAAGAGGAGGGGATGGCGGGGTGCTTTCTCCAGAGAACAAAGACTAACTGGGGTCCCTTGGTTAGGAGTGGGGGCCCAGAAGCATCAGTTTCTTCACCTGGGCCCTGAGTCCCCACATACCTTCCTCTCAACACACACACATGCTCCAGGGAGACTGGAGGGGTTGGGGAGGCCTCGGCACCCTGACCTAGCAGTGGCCCATTCCTGCATTACAGTAATTACAACTCTGGAACTTAAAAATGGCAAGACCGTATACTGTCATGCCCGTGTCTACACGTGCCCAGCACTGGGTTAAGGCTCCTGCTTCACTAAATTCTCATAACACTCCCAGGAAGCAGGCACAAAGGCTATCCCCATTTACAGAGGAAGAAATTGAGGCCCAGAGGATGGAGTGACCTCACCCACCCAGCCAATAACTGGAGTGGCTGGGATTCAAACCCAAGACTAT